AAGCAAAAGTGTTTTTCATGTAACAAAGAATTATATTATTTAATACTAAGTACAAAGATACTAAAAATCTTTTTAAGTAGGCCATGAGTAGAAAGAGAGGTGTTAATAAGAATAAGGATTGTTCTAGTCTTGCCTACAAGTATGAAAGAAAAAGAAGAGAAGAGAATAGAAACAAAAACATATAGAAGCTTCATAAGAATTACATAACTTACAAGTCAAGTGTATAAGTTGTGGAATGCTTTCATGGTAAATAAACTCCAACTTTTAAATTAGAAAGCGTTTTCTTTAGAATAAGGTTACATTATTGTTTTGCAGTAATGAATTAATTTAATTGAATATTGTAAATATACTGAACCATTACCTTTGCAACCCAATGCTGTTTTTTTGAAAACATGTTAGATTGGTTTGAAGTATAAGAATATATACATTCTATTTATTTATTTATTTATTTATTTATTTTTTGCATCTTTTGGAGATAGATGTAAATGATATTTTAATTTAATTTTCTTCTTCTTCTTTTTCTTCTTCTTCAGAGCTTCCACTTTGAGTTCTCACTTTGGCCTTATTGAGACTTACATGATAACACCGGCCTCAAATCTAACTTATATTGTATACCATTCTTCCCTGCATTAATTCAATGTTTAATTTGTTATTACTGTCATCATCTAACAACTGTTGCAAGATTGCAAATACTTTATTTCTAGAACCATCTAAATTCTAGGGTTCAAAACAAAACCATACTGTACAGTATACACATTATTGCACCACTAAACAAACTTTTTCATACAAACAGGCAAGCATGAGTGATTGATAAGCATTCAAATAGATTAATAAATACGTGATAGCACATAATATCATTCATTGCAAGGAAGAAAGGAAGATTAAATAAATATACATATACATACATACATACATACATACACATATTCAGCTTTCTGAAGCCAGATGGGTGCAACTCTGGTGCCTATCAGAAGAAGTGAAAAAACACACACAAAGGCTTCATTCCGTTAAGGGTTGCCATGGCTCAGAGTGTGGTGGCTATGAGCCACCTACTTTCACTATTGCTTAGCACACAGGATTTGAATGACATTGAAAGGGAAACCTGTTCCCACTACTGCTTCTCTTTATTGTCTACTTTTTTTCATGCACTTGGGAGGCCGACTTTTTCAATATGAAGAACTAGGCTTGGATGATGCCATGTGTGAAGCTTTGAGGTTTCATAGACATTTTTTTTTTTTTTATTTGTGAAAGATGAGTAGTAAAATTTAGTCCATGAGGGTTGGGTCATGTGAATGGAGTTGGTCCATAAGAGAGTGAATACAAAGTTATTCTAATTGGTCTACATTATTGAATCATGTGAATTGAGTTGGTCACAAAAGGGGCTCAAAAAGGAGGGTCTAGCTTAATTAGCATGGGTGGGTGGACTTTTGTGAAATTAATGGATGAAACCCCCCACCCCCCATGGAAATATAATGCTAGACTTCCTTACTTCTTTACCATAGTTTTTACAAATATTGTTGCTTTCTTTTTTAGAAAGAGAGAGTTAAAAAGGAGAGTTGGTGCACAACTCAACAAGAGTGTGCATATGCTTGCTCATCACCAAAAGCTTGACTCTTACTTCTTTCAAGAAATAAATACAAAGTTCCACTTTTTGTTTTGTTTTGTTTTTTTGTTTTTTTTGTTTATATATTCTTTTTAATTTATTATTTTTTCTGCTTATTATTGCCTGCATTATATGTTACAAAGTGAGACTTCAATTACATCATATAAATTAGATTTTTAAAAATGTATTTGTTGTTGATACAGAAGACCCAAAGAATCCCACAAAGTCCATAATGGTTTCGTGGTTTTTGCCAAAATAATCCTCAATACAATGATCTCCTCCATGTTGTCAATTGTTTCTTTTACTTCTTTTTGATTTGTAACTCTTTGTAACTCTTTGTTAATTCCCCAAATCATCAGAAGGAGAAAGTTACTGTAATGACAGAGAAGCTCACTATGCCTCTTTCAGAGCGCGGGTCTGTTATTCATGTTGCAACAGAAGAAGGGTCACACTCTTTTTTCCTTCTTCTTCATGGAGGTTTTGGGGTTATTCTTTGAGCTATTGTATGCATGGTTGCATTTACCTACACTATCCTTCTATTCTGGTTGAACATGATGTTTTAACCTACATTACAAGGCAATAGACAGGGAAAACTTCTTTTGGGAATCCACATGGCAAAATAAATAGCAAAAAATGACCCTAAATAGTTCTACAAATAAGTACAAATAAAATATGCCATGTTTTGGGCATTAAATAAGTTAACCCTAAAACTTTAACTACTTGCAACCTTACTACTCTACTTCATAACAAAAAAAAAAAAAAAAAAAAAAAAAAAAAAATCCTTCCATTTAAGACATTATATTCTTCTGTCAAAATACACATCTTCAAACTATTTCAACCTTGCCATTGTCTATTATGTTTTTGCTTCCATTGCAAGCCATGAAGTCTTCTTCTGCAACAATAGTATGAGTCTGTCTTAATGCTGTGCATGACTGACTTAGCCACAATGGATGTTGTTTCCTCATTGAATTAGGGTTTGTCTTAATTCTTCTGCTCTCCTGTTGGAGGACAAACAACACAAATTGCTTGTGCTGAGAGAGAGTGTGTGTGTGTGAGTGTGTTTGTGAGTCAGTTTTTGCCTCTGGTGATGATGCTGGAAGGTAAAAAACATTCACATTATGAGCCTTCAGAGACACTGTCAGACAAGGATACCCAGAAAAAACCAACTTTAGGATCTCATCATTCAAACAAACAGTGCAAAAGAGAAGGGGTTCTGCCGATCAATGGGAGCTTTGCAATTCATTTATAATGAAAAGATACTCACTAAGAAAGAGAACAAATAGGAAAAAGAAAAAAGTTGAAGGATTTGAGAGTAGTTTTGTATGTTTCTTTCTTTTGTGTATATACACATACACATGCACAACAACTTAACTGAAAAATTCAAACAAATTCCAATGCATGTATGTTGATATCAATGTATTTAACCTTTGAGCATTACAAGAATACTGATTAGAAGAAGCACCATCATACTATTCTTTTCAGAAACATTTACTAAGAAATCATGAGGTTCTCTGAAACCTCATTAAACATATCAACAAAAAATAAAATAAAATAAAATATGTATGTCTATTTTGAGTGGAAATTTAAACAAAAAGCAATCTGCACAAGCCATGGCTTTTGTGCATTTGAAATGTAGCTAAAATGCAAGTCACAAGAGGAAAAGAAAGATGTGTGTAAGAATATGACTTGAGTGGCTCATTTATGATCTCAAAATCAATCTGTGAAGGCAGACAATCATGTATTCAATGCTTTGGCAGTATGATGATGCTATTTAAAACAATGTTGGAAAATTAACAAGTCAGTAAAAGGTAACAAACCTGAGTATGTTTTTAGACATGTAAATTGGTTACAAACATTTCTTGAAGTTGTATTGTATAGGGGGTTTCAAACATGGCACTTTTGGAAAACCAAACTACTCGGATTCAACATCTCATATTTCCACAATCATTCAAAATATCACCATTCAAACTTTATTATCTCCTTGGTATGGAGGGAAAGAAGGAAGAAAGTTGAGGCAAGCAACACAATTTTTGATATTTTACCCACCCCTCTTTTGATATTTTGATTTCAGAATCACCCACCTTGCAAGGTGGGTGATTCTCTGAAGTATCAAGTGATATTTTGAAATATCACTTGATACTCTCAACTTGTATCATGGGTGAAATATCACCCAAAAATGCCATGTTTGAAACCCCCTAATGAAGTGATACAAAATAAATTCGTTCACCTGAAAGAAAGAGAAAAAAAGGTAAGAAAAAGGGATGAATTGAGAAGATAATGAATTGTGCTACTACTACTACCATTGCTAGTGAAAGTTTTGTTGTACACCAGGGTTCACAGGAAGGGTAGATGGCAGGTCTGCACTAAGTTTTGACATCAAAGGGAATCAAAGATGGGGAGGAGAGGGAGGATCAGGTTTGGCCTAAAGGGAGGCATTGTAAAACCTTTAGATGCATCCCTTTTGGCCAAACCTGATCCATGCAAATTGATTAATTACTGATACAGTCACACACACATACACATACTGTGTCTGTGCAGCACCCTCGAATAGAGTTGTTCATGAAGGGACAGATGTATGAATCACCCTCCACAACCCTCCTCCTCCCCCTGCAGCTTGGTCTGTGGGCGTGTGGAGGAGTGAGGGAGGGGAAGGAACTAGAAGCAGATCCCTAAAGCCAATGCCTGCAGAGGTTTCATGAATGAGGTAAGTCAGTTGCATTGTCTACACATAGCTGGCCACCTGCAGGGACGCCATAAAAGGGGCCCTGCAACACAACTACTACTACGAAGACTACTACTACCCCATCCCCACACTGTACCCCTCTCCCCTCATCACCCCTCCAGCCAGGAGGAGGAAGAGGGCCACATAATGCCACCACCCCACCCCCCAACCCAGCCCAGTCATCTGCGTCAAGAGCCTAATCATGGGGGTGGGGCAAATCGTATATGCAGCAAAAACAATACAGGTCAATGACCAGCACTTGCCAGATGAGCTCCTAAGCCTTATAGGAAGGCTAATGTTGAGGGGAGAAAGATGGCATTACACTGAAGGAAGCCTACACAGCAAGGAAACTCCCCGCCTTCAAGGCAGGATTACATCATTTTTGCATTGCATTGCAGCAGCAGCAGAAAAAAGTGAAAGAGGAGGAGTGAGAGTGAGTGAGGAAGGGAAAGTGAGAATGAGGGAGGGAGGCACACTTGGTGTGCATTGACCTCCACCTGGATGATGAAGCGGCCCGAGTGGCCCCGAAGCCCATTCGTGTCTATCCTTGAGAGGAAAAAAATAAGATTAAATAACTGAAGAAAGGGGGATTCGGTAAGGGGAGGTCAAACCCCCTCACCAAACCGTATCCGGACTCACTAAATTGCATTCACCAAACTCCGGGCGTTTTTTCAACTGGACGCAACCTCACCTTACGCCTTTTCCCCCACCTGATAGATTCCTCAGGTGCTTCGTAATACAATTGCTGGGTCCCTAGACGCCATGGTTGCGCATGGGCCGCTAATCGATGGAGTGAGCTCGTCGACCCCAACTGCAGGAGAGACCGGAAATGCCCCACTGCCATCATTCCATTCTTCCTTTCTGTTATTTTTTTAATCTTCCAGTTTCAACGAAGGTTGTTAGTAAGCCAGCCCATAACACTTTGTCCGAGTCGTTGAGGGAGCTGCCGTCAGAAGAGCGGCACCAGAAGGGTGGCGCGTCACGACTCAGCGTGGCATAAGCTGGCCGATCTACGAAGCTGCTGGTAGTTGGCTCGGCCCGATGGTTGCCATAAATATTGGGGAGAGTCTAATCAATTCCACGGTGATTGTAGTGCGTTGTAATCTCCGGAAGGGCAGAGTGAATGAGTCCCATTGTCTGCAGCAGCAGCCACATCACCACCACCACCACCACCGTGGGAAACTACTACTGGTGTCATCAATCAGCAGACACCGAGGCACCGCAGTAAACTCCTTCTCAGACAGTTAACGGTGGCGTAGGGCAGCTTGAATACATCTACAATCGTTTGAACTTGTCGCGATTCCACTTTTTTTGCCTTCTCAGGCCCCTGCATTTTCGAGCTCCACCATGCTCTGCTTAAATATTTTCTCTTACGGGGTGGGTGTCGTTGCAGCTGGAAGTCAGATTTCGTTTGATCGAATCAGACAGTCATAATTGCTCCAGCTCATGGTCGCTAGCTCGGTGCGAGAGGGAGCTTGTCGGATTGGGGCTGCGCTTTAGCGTAGCAGGGCGTATTGGTCTCGGTTCTGTGATCTTTGGGACATCTTGTACTAGCTGAGACTTTAGAGTGGGAGCGACGTATACACAGCACGGTCGGTCGACGTCGTTAAGAGAAGGAGGATCTTCGGCGTGCAGAGCCCTCAAGCGTAGAAGGGAGTGACAGTCGGGAGTGACAGTCGGGAGTGACAGTCAGTGAGGTTCATCTCCGCTACAGAGAGAGCGCCAGCCTAGCTCGTGGTCCGCAACTTGAAGCCCGGATGCTACAGTGAATTTAGCTCCGGGAGCTGGAGGGGGATCGCGAAGTTGCCCACTTTTATAGAGTCTCTGTGTGCGAAGGCGGCGACACGTGACTTGGTCGAGAGGTGCAGCATTTTGCGTTGGGGGTACTCTGGGAGAGCGTGCACCATCGTGAGCTTCTCATTGCATGCATGCTAGTACGCACGCATTTAGCTAGCATAAGCATGTGGAATAGACATTCTTCTTTCGAAGTGTAACTTACGGGCGTTGTCGTGTTACCTGGTTAGGAGGCGCGCACGCAGTCGACACGCGCGCGAGTAGTTAGGAACAGGAACGACGTGTTGTAGGACCTTGCTCTGTAGAGGTTGTGAGCATTTCTTTATATTTTTATTTATTTTAGTACAGCGTGCATTCGATTCAGAAAGGGGAGACTTATAGGCGATCTCGCATATGGCGATGAATGAGGGAGATAATTATACCCAATTCCATAGCCATAATCAAGCGTATGCGGGGATGGAAATGTACATCGGCCAATACCGAGTAGAATCCTGGATGTTGACACAGGCGATCATCACTTGCGTGGTTGCCTTCTTGGTGTGGCATGTGCTTAAGTACAGTAGAATAAAAGGGCCCATAGTGTGGCCGGTTTTTGGCACGACGCCGCAGTTCTTGTGGAACCTACCGCGCATGCATGATTGGACTACCGACATGTTGGTGAAGTTCGATGGGACCTACACCTCCATTGCGCCCAAGTGCACTTGCTTGACTGCTGTGGCGACTTGCAGGTTTGGTCTCGCAGAACCCATCAATCGCCCTGTTTCTAAATTTTAGGTTTCAGAGAAATGGTTCCAGTGCATGGTAGCATTGAGTATTGTTGCCAACTGAGTTGAAAGTATCCGCAACGTACCCTGGAAAAGATCTTAGTGGGTGGTCAACTATCATCAAAGCATGTAGTAAAATGGAAGAGTGATTTTTTTTTTATTATTATTATTTTCCTTTTTCCTTTTTGTACTTTTGTTTTTTTTTTTGTTTTTTGTTTTTTTGTAGTGAATAGGAAGTCGGACAGCTTGGGAATCTACCGCAGTCAAGAGTACAATTGCGGAACCGCTTGGTACATGAGATCTGGCGTCATCGTTACAGCCGATTATGTCCCACCATGTCCACCTAATATACACTCAATTAGCCCGATTTGGTTTTGCGGGGATGAAGTAGAGCATGCTGAAGTGGTGAATTTGGGATGAATTGCAGGCCTGAAAACCTGGAATACGTTTTGAAAACTAATTTTGCGAACTATCCAAAGGGAAGGAGCTTCACGTATCCCTCCCACGATCTGCTTGGCCAAGGGATTTTCAATACGGATCACGAGCTATGGAAGATGCAGAGGAAGACGGCGAGTCTCGAATTCAGTACTCGCACTCTGAGGGATCTCATGGTGAAGTCCAATCGCAGCTCCGTGGGGCAACGCCTCCTGCCCGTCCTCGCCGATGTCGCGAAGAAAAGGTGACCATGTCGAGGCCCTTGATGGAAAAGCTCCAATTTTCCACGTCATGGGGTTTTCACACACACAGACGTAGCTCCATGTGCGAAGTTGATTTCAGAGGTTCTCCTGTGGAAATTCCATATCTCAATTCACTCTTGTCCAATTCTGTTGGGTGTGTTTCTCAGATTCCTAGCTATTTTACTCACTTTTTTGGTGTTTTCATGGACAGGATTCCCATTGATTTTCAAGACCTTTTCCTCCGGTACACCTTCGATAATATATGCATGGTAGGATTCGGAGTGGACCCGGGATGCCTTGCACCGGGCCTGCCCACGGTTCCTTTCGCTCAAGCCTTTGACCTCGCCACAGAGGGCACTCTCACGCGCATGGTGGTCCCTGAGATTTTCTGGCGAATTACCCGCGCACTGGGCTGGGGCATGGAAGGGCGCCTGGCTAAGGCAATCAGCACAATCGACAAATTCGCCGCCGATGTGATCACCGAGCGGCGGAGAGAGCTTAACATGCTCAAAACCCTAAACGCCACCGAGTACCCCTGCGACCTACTGTCTCGGTTCATGCAGACCACGGACCACGAGGGCAACCCCTACACCGACAGATTCTTACGCGATGTGACCACAAATTTCATCCTCGCAGGGCGCGACACAACCGCCATCGCCCTTTCCTGGTTCTTCTACCTCATAACCCAAAACCCCGCCGTGGAGGAAAAAATTCTGAACGAGATCAGGGAGATTCTCCAGTCTCGGAGGCAGAGTGGGGGCGTCGGAGAACCCGACGACGACGATGCTGGACGAACCACCCAAGAAGCCTCTCTGAGCTTCGAGGAGCTCAAGCAACTGCACTATCTCCACGCCGCGCTGTCCGAGTCGATGCGACTTTACCCTTCCGTCCCCATTGATAACAAGGACGTCACAGCGGACGACTTCTTACCAGACGGCACCTTCGTAAGAAAAGGTACTCGCCTCATGTACTCGATCTACTCCATGGGCAGGATGGAGTCCATCTGGGGGAAAGACTGTCTGGAGTACAAACCCGAGAGATGGCTACGCAATGGCGTCTTCACACCCGAGTCGCCGTTCAAGTATGCCGTCTTCAACGCCGGCCCCCGGCTGTGCCTAGGCAAGGAGCTCGCGTACCTGCAAATGAAGTCGGTGGCGAGTGCGATACTACGGAATTATCATGTCAAGCTGGTGCCCGAGCACAAGGTCGAATACAAGTTGTCGCTGACGCTATTCATGAAGTATGGGTTGCATGTGACCCTGCACCCTCGCGTCACCGTTGCTTATTGAGGTCAAGGGTGGCAAGCCGGCGACGAGGGTGAGGGGTAAGTCTCTCAGTTTCTCTTGCGTGAGCCACAATAGCTTTTGTCCCCATGAGCTCCATCTCGGTTAGTTGGAGAGGGTGCTCAGGCGGATCGCAGTACATAATGTGTCAAGGTTACAGCATTCTGATAACTAAGGCGTTTGCCCAAGTTCTGATTTACATACCAAGTTCCGCGAGGACGGCACTTGCTTCGACCAAGGTATTTAATTATATTTGCTTCAAGTGTAAAAACGGCGAGTTGAAGCAATAGCGGCACCCCCGACTAGTTAACCATGGGATCGATTTCTACCCAATTAGTTTGTGCTCTACGCAAAAGTGATGGAACTAGAGAGAGCACGCCCTCACAAAGAGACTTGAATAAAAGCTGTGTTGAGGTCCTCTTCCACCGCCTCCTCCCCACTCGGTCCCCTTCGAAATCAGCTCTGCATCTGGACACTCCCAGTCCATGCATGTACTTTACTCGTCATAATATACGACAAAAAAATTACCCGTGTTGATTGCTTACAATCTGTTCTTCCCCGGAAACTTGTTTCTACAAGTATTTTGTGTATGATTTTCTTTGGAACATATCCCTCTGATATCTGGCGTCCTTTTCTCTTCTGCGCATCTGTGGGTTCCCATATTCTTTCCTTGCTTGTGTGCTTCAGTTCCAGTTGTTGACTGAAGCCTGGACAAACCTTTGGTGCGAGCTCCACATCTCTTCGCAATGGTGAAAGGCAACATGTAAGTTATCCCGTAAGAACCCACTTTGGTTGTTGCTGCTTTTGCATCGGTGGAACCCCATGAGAAATAGACCTAATGGTGGCGACTGGACAATGAAATAGTAGACCCCTCTATTATTATTATGCACACAAGTTGAATGAAGCATGTGCCCTTGAGCACGCATGTATTTGTCAATTTCAGTTCCACTCTTGCTTTACAGATTGTAGCTTTTGACTGGACTCTTCTTTGGAGTTTTCATTTTTATTTTTATGTCCACTTTTGCCTTGATTACATTTTTTGAGTAGTTACTTGTGATTGTCAATACAAGCAGAGTGTGGTGCAAAATTTATCGTTAAATCCAAACACATGGAAAGTGGTGGATGCTATTATATATACTTTCAATGCAAATATGTGAAAGAATTCATGTGTAAGAATAAATGAAACAAAATGAAGTACATCACTTCAAGGATCTCTTCCATAAAACAACTCAGAAACAACTCAGGGGATAAACCAACATGATAAACCAAAGGAAATAAAAAACCATTTCTAATTGGTTGCATTTCTCATTGTTTTCATTCAACCTTTGATCAAGCAAACATCAAAATCTGCATGTTGTTACGGATTGCCAAAAGTAGCATTGCAAGATCACTTGGCCTAGAGCTCAGAAGCTCCCAACAAATAAATAAACTAACAAATATTTGCTATTAGCCACCTTTTTTGTGGCCATTGGCATGGGTTTCCACTGGTTATTGTGTAATGTGCATATTGTTGGCTTACTATTTTTCAATTGGAACTGATTTTTTTAATATATATATATATATATATATATATATATATATATACCTCAATTATATTGGATTCTTTTATTAAAAATTTAGATAAAGTTTAGAGTATTTGAAAGCAACAATATTTCTTAACCAAAAATTTGTTGGACTATTCCATTGGACTATTGGTCCTTATAATTTTAAGAAGAAAATCAAACCACTAACATATCTATTCAAAGATATTTGCATTAATTTAAAAAATCTGAAAAAAATCAAAAGCTTCAAAATTATTAAGGTTTAATATTAAAAGTTAATAAGAGAATTAAAAATACATATTATTATAATTACAAATTCATTCAATTATTGGATTAATAATTAGTTTCCTTTATTTTTAAAAGAGTTTTCAAACAATTTGAAAAATATACTTTTAACAACTTTTGCATCACTTTTTAAGCACAATAAAATATTCAAGATATATTCTAAAGTTGTAGTATTTTGATAAATCTTGATAATTTGGATGGCTAATGCCATAATTCTACAAAGAAAAAGAAAAAGAAAAAGAAAATTCTTAAAGGATTTTAATAGAATTTTCATATGATAAAGTTTTTAATATTTTAATAGAATTTCATATGATAAAGTTTTTAATATTAATATAAATATTAAAAAATAGATGTTATAGTAGTTTGAATTGTTGTAGGTTCTACTAACAATGTTACATTATGTAACCACAATAATCTAAAAAACTAGTATTGATTCTAGTTTGAATATTTATAAAATAATGCTAATTTAACAAACAATTAAACAAACAATTAAACAAACAAAAGTCAATAACACAGTTATTTCCAAAGATTGCACTAACAAATGGCAAATATTGAAGAGATGAAATTGTCATTTATTTTCTGGTTTTGTTTTTAAAGAGCCAGTAAAACATTATGCCAACAATTATGGCCCAATAAAGAACGTGTAGAAGAGCAAAATAAGAAAAAAAAGAAAAAAAGAAAAAAAGAAAAAAAAATTGTGTATTGTGAGATAAATAAAATGTTTTCTTTTAGATTTTTCTTACATTACAGAGATACTTTTTTTAGAATAATCTATAAGTAAATTTTGTTTTGAATGCAAAGTCTAAATGGAATGCATTCAAACACATAAATAACAAAAGGACTTGTTTTCAAATCCTTTGTTAATCTTTTTGTAAATTGTCTTCAAAGTGAAGCCAAGGAACATCCACAGAGAGGCCACGTGGACCTGTGCCACCAACTAGGATTCCACGTGGCTGCCACCTTGTCACTGTGCTTGCATCCAACTGGATGATGACAACTCAGCCCTCCCTCTGTCAATGGCCATTTTCATGAAATGGTGCCGTCTGCCACATGAAAAATAATAACTGAGCAAGTCCCACACACAATCTCTTTAAAGTCATTGCCACCATATGCACCACTGTAAAAAAATAAATAAATAAAATAAAATAAAACTAAACTAAAGGTGCCACCAAAGACTTGTAAAAAGGAAGGAAAGATATTTAAAAAAGTAAGAAAAAGCTTCCTATGTGAAAGAAAGAATAAAAACGTAAAATAAAAGTGAAAACAACCTAAATAACATATAAATAAATATAAATAAATAAATAAACCAAGTCAACAATATGGGATTTGTAGATGGGTAATTTTTGTAAAAGTTGGATTGTTCTTATCCATGGTATATCAAAACTTTGTTCTATGAATACTATTGGATTCATATTAATTGCAACACCAACTCTCACCAGTATCATGCAAACTTGTGTACTTGGTTCAAACTTTTCCTAACATCTTTACAACTCTTAGGTTTGGTGAATGGAAAACGCCAAATATGGTTTATTTACTATTTAATATGTTTTCTCAAAATGTCCATGTGATTTTATAAGTTGCAAAGATCTAAGTAGTTTCATATGGCAGTTTTTCAAAAGACAAGCTATTTGGAATCATTTTGTTGTACATCCAAAATGTCTACAAACATTTCAATGAAATATGATCCAAGTTGGACTAGAGATTGTAAGAGTTTGAAATCTTTTTGGGTTTCTTTTCATTTGTTCACATATTTTATTTTTAGTACTTGAGAAGGCATCACTTTGAGACTATCTTCACTTGTATTATTATCATGGTCTACTTCTTAATATTCTCTAGTTATTTATATATACATATATATACACAAACAATATACATACAAATGTAGGCTGCTTGATTTTTTTGATATAAGTAGAACATATATCTATTGACAAATAAATTGAAACGAAAATAATTTATATTTACTATAAATTTTGTAATAAAAACAAAAGAATCTTATAATATTGATAAAAAAAACTTAAGAATTAAATAAAACATTTTTCAATTCAATTAAAAATTACCAATTATTTTTAATTTATTACAAAAATCTTAAAAAATAAAATTTTACATCATAACATTAAAATAGTGAAATACTTAATTCATTCTTATAGAAATTTAAAATAATTGATATAAACATAAGATATTTTGAAATTTTACAAATTCTAATAATATATTAAAAATTTATGAATTAATCATTTTTAATTATCTTCTTCAATAAAGAGTTTTGAATTTTACTTATTTATTTATTTACAGAATTAAACTAATTAATAGTATCTTATTTAAAAAATACACAAATAATTTCTAATCATGAATATTGGTATAATTATGTCTAAAAAAATAATTTTTTAACAAAGATATAGATATCTTTGCATTGACATTAGATTATGAATAGATAGTACTTTGATCATACAAGGTTATAAATTATGATCATATAGAAAAAATCTCTAAACTTGCCAAATAAATGTTAATATAGAGATGAGAGTTTTTTTGATGTTGTGTAAAACAATTAATAAAGTATAAATATAAATACATATATATATATATATATATAATATTATTTTTAGTCATTATTAATGGTCTTTAATTGATAAATAAGTTATATAAATATATAAGTATATATAGATATTATTTTATAATAACTATAAAAAATTAAAATTTCAAAAAATAAACTATCAATAGTATTTTAAAAATATATTTTGTATAAAGTACTATATATTTGGTATTAAATTTGATATAATTTAATAGAATATATTTTTATTTTTTATTTATTAAGTTATAATTATAAATAAAAATTCAAATTAGTATCTAAAGTATTTAAATTTAAATTATAAATATTTTTAAATTAAAAAAAAATTATATTAAGTAAATCTTTTTAGATTAGAATATTGTCAATGCAATACCCTTAAGTTGTTAAATTAATACCTCTCTAGATTATAAATTTTTTATATATATAAATTGTTATATAAACATTGTATATACTATTTTTACTAATTCTTTGTATATCAATTATGTATCTAAGATGCATATATGTTTGTATATAAATTCTTGTTAAATATGTCTTCTTTCAATTTTTTTTAAAGCTATAGTATTTCTAGGTTGTTGCTACTCAATTTTATTCTAAATGTAACTTCTTCCAATATATGCAAGCCATTGCTTCCAAAGACATTATTTCCACAATTAGTTTCTACTATTTGATGCTTGTGGACTTAGATAAGTCTCTATATTATGTCCAACTTGCCTACACTTTTTACATCTTTTCTACTATCTCTTCACAACTTGAACGGAAAAAAAAAAAAAAAAAAAAAAAAAAAAAATCACATTGTGTAGACAATTGCATTTGATTCCAATTAATTGAGTTAAGTAGATGTCTCTTAGTATATTATGTAATGGAATCATTTAGAACTCAAAAGTTTTGAGATTTAAGTTCTATGAAGGTTGATTGTATTTTCAATTGTTGATCTAAGCTCAATGATGATAACTCTTTGTTAAATAGTTGAAAAATTAGGAAAATATTTCGAATTTTTTATTGAAGGATATGATGTGGTAGAAGGTATAAGAAATGAGAAGGATCAAGATACCATTGTAGGTGACTACTAGTCCCTCCCAAAATACTATTTATTCTAAGTGTTTTATAAAATTAATGTTTGCATAGCAAAGTCAGTGTTGATGTGAATTATCTAATATAAATTGCTTCACCATCAATATCTCTCATTAATACAAATACTAACCTACAAACCTTCATAAGGGCAAAACTCAAGACTTTCTTTACTACTTGGTTATAAAAGTTCTCTCAAATTAAGCTAAATTCACATCTTCTCATCCTCAATTTTAGCTTGCAATTTCTTCTTCTCATGCTCTATGTATATTTTTATCATCTTTTATATATTATAGAAGTTCATCTCTTTTAATTCCACATGAATATCTTCAACTTATAAGGTGTTTATATTCTTAAAATAAAGATGTTAAAAAGACTATACAATGAAAAAATGTTCCTTCAAAAGAATCTAGATTAGTGATATGTAGCTCATGCTTGTTTAATGAGTGCTATAATATTCTTGAAACTCCTCCCAAATATATTTGAAGACCTCAAATGAATAGCTTACAATAATGTCATTGTAGTGTTGGCTAAATTTCACCTAATCATTTACAAAAAGTAATGATATAAAATAATATTTTGGTTAATATGTCATTAATAGAAAAGGATTTGTAATTTTTTTAAAAACTTGTTGTATGATGACTACAAATGCAAGCTTTTTCTCAGTCACAATGGTTTGAAGAACACTATTTTTTATAAATAATTTTGTAATCCTTTCTTATTTCTAGATATAATCAATTTTTTTCTCTTCTTTTAAAAATATAAAGCAATATAAAAAGACTAATGTAGTTGATGTTATACCAAAAATGCAAAGGAATGGCATTCAAATTTATTACTTTTGTACTTTCAATTTCATCTTGTGGTCCTAAAATAGATGAACTTTTTTGAAGCAATTCATGTTTAATGATAGAGAACTGATTATGAACATTAGCACTAGTAATAAGGATACATGGATTCTATTGTCAAGAAGCAATTAGAGCTATTACAAGCTTAAATCTTACTAAAAAAATGTTGGTTGAATATTTATTGTAATTAAGCCAAAAGTTATCTAAAAGTTGTATAGATACAAATATTGATAGATGGTAGTTGGTTATAGAAAGGATATTAAAAAATGAATAATTCAAATGTCTATCGCTATAGTTTTTTTATATATATAATGCCAAAAAATAGCCACAAGCCTAACCATTCCATTATACTTTTGTTGTCTATATAGACACCTCCTTAGTCATACTTCAACCACAACCCCTTATTATCAATAAAATAACATTTGACAATAGAGTAGTTATAAGAGTGGACAAAAGATTGCACACTATCAGACGACTTGCCTTTAGAAGAGTGTTTATGTTGAAGTAGAGGTTGTGTTTAAAAAATGAGTGATAATATTAGAGATGTATCTTGAATGTATTAAAAAAAAAAACAAAACAAAAAATTAGACCAAAGAAAGAATGAACATTGGCAAGAGTTATATGAAATCTTAGAGGAATATAATGCCTTTATAGCACTCCCACAAATATCCATAATGAAGTAATAAAATTCTTTTATTATTAACACAATAATAGCTTTTCTCTTATTTTTGTTGCTACTTTTTTTGTTACTATATTCTGTCACCTTATTTCATTTTTATGTTTGTTTTTGTCTTGTATTCTCTATCTTTGCATTACCTTTAATTTATTTCTACTATAATTGCTAATATGACTTATCATACAATTTGTATCTATTGTTCAACAAGTATCTTTTGTTACTATAACACAACAACAAATTTCCACAAACTAACCTTTATAATTAAGTTACTTGTAATTTTAACATAAAATAGTGATTTTATTAAAGATATTAAATATTGATACTTACCTTGAGTTAACAAATGTAATTTGATTAGCCTTAAGAATGACTTACAAGACATGACTCATTTTATTATTTTTATGGAGCAATATTGTGGATTTCTTGCCTTTGGAGCTCCAATTGATGGGCAAATTAACATAGCTGTTTTCAAATTCATAAAAACCTCCTTATTCTTTATGTAGAAATATTTACTATAAAATTATTCATTGCAATTCATTTCTTTATTCATGCTATAATCTTTATAATTTTTAAAATTTTAAACAATGTATAATTTTTAAGAGTTTTTAGTTTGAAAAAAAAATTAAAGAAGATGAAAGAGATCTTTTTGCAAATGCAACACATTTTCACAAGGTGCAATGTGGATTCACGTTTGTGCTTTTTAGAGAAAAGAAACATATTTGGAAATATAATTTATAAAGATTAGAGAAGTAGAGAATATTTATAAAATCTTTGCAAATTTTGAGAAGGATGCCAAAGAATTGTTGGAAGGTGTCAATTCAAAAAATTAAAGGTGTGTTAAAAATTATATATATATATATATATATATATATATATATATATATATTAACAATATACTTTTTATTTGATAATATTTTATTGATATTAATAAATCAAAAATAAATAAAAAATAAATCACATACTAATTATAAATTATTTTTATATGATTTAAAAAAATCTAGAAGAAGTTTTCACAAAAGCATGATAGAACTTATAAAAATTTGATAATCCTACTAATTATCAATAATAGTATCAAATTATTTAATTTTTTTAATATGATATATTTTATTCTTAAATAGTTGAAATATTTGATAAATTCTAATAATATTATTATTATATTTTTAATTTTTATTCTATGGAATTTCTTATTTTAATCTTTAATTTACTCTACACAATATTTCTAAGCTCTTTTTATTCAAATTTATATTTCTCTAAAACCAATTAATCATACAATATATATAAAAAATAAAAGCAAAGTATTAATAATGAAACTATTAAACGCAAACATCCCAATCACAAAAAGGAAAAATTATTCAAGGCACACAATCCAAAACACAAAGACATTCACTAACACAAAACTCCGAAGCCCCTCCATTGCAATGACCTCCTCGGTATACATGCACTTTATCAAGTGCGCTGCCTATCAATTTTCACATTCCACACTGCATCCAAAGTACTCGTATTGCAAAAAAGTCAATTTTCACATTTCACAATGCACACGAGTCTTCACTTCTGGTACAGACACAAAGTGATACTGGGTATTAGAAAGAAAAGAAGAAGAAAAAAAAAAAAAAAAAACCCTTCTGGGAGGAATGTAGGAATACTCATGATATGAATTATAAGAACAACAATATTTAGAATAATAACAAATCTTAATGATAATCACCATCATGGCAAGCAAATGTCATCAACAGCAAATGGGCGTGACAACCGAGGTGCAGGGTGGCCCCCCGCCGTTTGGGAACCAATGTGGCCTGGCAGTACTGGGCTTTGTAGGGGGTGCAGATGGGGTTGGAGCTCGACGTGGTGAGAGGAGATTGTGGGTGCAGAGGAGGGAAGGAGGGAGGGAGGAAGGAGGAGGAGACAAGGTGAAGAAGGAAGAAGGCCAGAGGCGGGAGGTCGGTAAGCTGGTTGTGTGGACTGTCAGGTCGAATAAACCGGGCAATGGCGTCGACATGCTTCGAGATAATAACCTCATTTGGCCTCACTGTTGTGTCTCCTTTGATATGCTGATGCGGCCCCATGTGTAACTCTCAAGACTGTGGAATCTGAAGCATGTAAACTTTAACACCAATTCTGGCGACTGCATCTGTCTTGCCTTCTTCCTTACGTTGATGGGAATTATTTGTAAAACTACACCCCCGTTTCTGTGTACCTGTGATGCAGATCTGATGGTGCGCAACCTCACATGTTCAACATTAAATTTCAGAAGAAAGTTCGGCTTCAGGTCACCCCGGAACCTTTCACCAACGTGTAGGATGTTGCTTGGGTGTATTTCTTTTATTTATTTATTTATTTATTTATTATAGTTATTTATTGTGTAGTAGAGCAGCTTCAATGTTGTACGTTGTTACCGATTGCTTAATGCCTAGATTTGACTCTTGAAATACAGATGTGACGTAGGTGGTTGGTCATTTATGTTTGCACGCAGTGTCCATCAGTGCTCATTCTTGTCAGTCTTCCTGCATTTGCAACAAGTTGCAATTTCCGTAGATTTCAAGGTCGACGAAAGTTACACTCACAAGTTTTCAGTACGAGCTGGAAAATCCTTCCATGATCTTCGAGTAAATTGCTTTCGATCCCACTCACTGTTCTAGCGCAGAGCTTGCACAAAATCTTCTTTTGTTTCCAAGCGATGAACGCACTGATTGAAGATATCTTTGTAAGATTTTGTGCAGCTATACATCCTCCGCACTTGTGTTGCTTCACATTTTACTCTTGAAATTCTGATTCTGACCTTGTTATTTTATTCCCTTCCTTTACGCTATGTCGATTGCCATCTCGATGTTGCATCTTTTAACCAGTACTGGAAATGAGCTGAAGCTGGGCTGCAACTTGGATTAACCATATTTGATGGTGAGCTCTCCAATCACGGCAGTAGCTGATGAGGAATACATCTCTTTACAACTTCTGTCTAATACCAGTTCTGTTTATTTGCAGGGCGGATGTAATTGGACATCCCCTTGAGTTCACGACGATTGAGTTCAGTTCACGCTCCACGATCCGCTAGTATGTAAGCCGCTCACCAGTTCATGGAATAAACTGCATCTGGTCAACAACAGTAGAAATTCTTCAAAATACAACTTCCATCTTGTGTTGATTTCTGGACATATAAATAGTTTGGTGGAGCACTTCGTCTTGTGTTGATCGTTTTGTGTGTGTATTTCTTCTCTGTCCTCAAAGCTGTGTATGAAAAAATCTTGGATTCGATCTCAGTTTCCCATCTTCTTATATTCAGTGAACTTGATCCCAATGAGTGAAGATGAAATTGAAGTCATGCAAAGCTTTAATGAGACTACAACTTGTGTAGGCTTCCATGATACATTCTTTATCTCATGGTGAGTCGTCCTGTTGCTTTGTGCAGCAACTCTTTCACAATTAAAACTTGCCGCATATTCTTGGTTAACAATTTCAATAAACAACTCGTTGTTTGTAATGAGTGGATTCCTTATCCAGCATTGAATGCCAATCATATGTCTTCCCTAGGATGCCTTCCCTGAACTTTCAGACGTAGCATTCTTCGTAAATTGTCGTGGGATTGTGTTTTTTTAAATGAAGTAAAAATCCCATTTTCTGATTTATTATTGATCGTCATTCATAATGTATTAAAATGCCAGGTGAAAGCTTTATATGATAATACATCTAATTTCTTATGTCTTAAAAATATAATTACATGTACGCCACTTTAAATAATTCTTCAATTAAAAAAATCAGTATATGTACGGAAAAACTATAAAAAAATATATAATAAAACTAAAAAAATAAAACTAAAATTACAACTAAAACTAAAAATTAAAGAACTAAACTTTGAAGTAGTTTTTTCTTCTATTCTTCATTACTGTTCAATATTTACATGAATTTTGGTTTAATTTTAGAATTGTAGTGCTTTTAAATAAAAATTAGTTAATTTTTGGAATTCTCTATAGTATTTATATTATCTTGTAAATTTTGAAGTAAGAGGTTATTTTATCAAGTTGGTTCATGTATACATACCGAAGAAAAAAAATGTAAATTATGCATAATTAAAACTGTAGCATGTAAAAGTTAATGATCATAAAATAAGTAACAAAAATCTAATAAAAATAAGATATGTGTCATAGAAGTATCATAGGTTATCAATATTTTTTATAATGGAATAGGACACTAATCTTGTTCGTATCCTTTAAAAACATTCAAAGTAAAAATATATAAAACAGGATAAAAAAAACTTTGTACATAATATCACACTTTATCTTTGAATATTTGATTGATTTAAATAGGTTGATAAAATCTTAAATTTATATCTAAAGAATATACCTTAAAAAACCAAAATTATTAGATATATCATTTAAATATATTTTTTTAATATAAACACAATAATATATTTAAAAACTAAAATAAATTATTGCAATTAATAGAATAGATTTATTTCGATTTTAAAAAATATAATAAAACTAAAAATACATATTAAATTAATCTTCCTAAACCTTAAATTGACTCACTTTACTTTGATGATTTAATTTATATAACTATTTTCTAATTTTGGAATTAAAAATCTTATGAACTCATTAAATAATGCTATACAAATCTTTTAGTGTAACAAATCTTTTAGTGTAAAAATATAATAGAAGTAACTTAAGTAGTGATTAAAAAAATATATATATATTTTATATAATTTTTATTTAAAAAATATTTATTAGACTAAAATTTAAAAAATTAGACACCACTACATAAGGCTTTTTTATAAAATATTAAATCAAATTGACATTTTATCCTATAAAAAATAATTTAAGATAATATTTCAAGATTTATTATTTATTTTACTAATAATATTTAAATTACTAATTAATGATAAAAAAGAGAAAATTTAATTTTTTTGAGAGTGAAAAGTGATGGATTAGTGAAGCATCAAAAGAAGTTAGATTTAGATAAAATAATATTCTTGTGTATCTTTAAACAAAAGTGTAAACTTTTTCTTTAATCTCAAAAAAATAAAAATTATTACTTAAAGAGTGTTTTTAAATTTTTTTAATTAATATAAATAATTCATTATAAGATTTAATTGAACATTAATACTTTTAGTCCATAATATATGTAGAATTAGTACTAAGTAAAAATTGGTAAAAATCTATAGGTACTATTATAAGAAATAAGATAAATATATTATTTAATAATTTAGATTTATAAATATAATATAAAAATATTTACTCTATATAAAAAAAAGGTGTCTATTTGTCTATTAGTCTACAATTGATTGGTTGAGGTTGTTAATATTGTTTATAATTACTTATATGACATCTCAAAAATATATGAACAAAATTCATCTATATTAGAGTTTATCTAATGATTTGTAGAAAAAATGTAAAGAATTATTTCCATTGTAGTAAAATTAAATTAGAAATAAATAAATAAAATAAATGAAGATAAAATAAATTGAGATATGCTCAAATTGACTTAATTTTTTTAATAAAAGATCATACAATACCAAATAGCTACTCATGATATTCATGGCACCACAATGATAATCAGTCAATGAGAATTTGAAACAAAGAAATACACAAGTATTGTTATGGAATTTTATTTGTAATTTAGTTTCTAACTAGGCAAAAAAAATTCACTCGATGATGATCAAAATTAAAAGAGAAGAATGTAAGTGAGAAGAAAACGAGACAATATAATAAAATACATTATTAGAAGTATAAAGAATGATTTTTAATCAAGGGTCTTCACAAAATTTTATGATTTTTTAAAATCAAAATCCTAAAAATACTCAAAAGATAGAATTATTAAAGAAATATTTTGATCACATAATTGATTATGTTGCTTTGCAATATTTTTGCTAAATTGCAAGCATAAAAGGCTATTAATATATTGGTAGACATCTACTACTTGTTCACTATTATCTCTCACTATACTTTCACTTGCTTCAATTTTCATTTCCTGCTAAGTTTGGTCTAATTAGTAAAATGATGTGTGACTTGTTCAATGTTGCAGTGTTGCTTGTCTTTTGGTTTGATATTGTTGTTGTCTACTAAGAGCAACATGGGCATATTATTGTGTGATAACACAACTATATTGTAAAAGAAGAAAGAAAAATATTATATTATAAAGAAGCTTAAATGAAAATACTTTAGCAAATTATCTTAAAAATATAGATAATAGACAAAGAAGTAGCAAAAATTAATAAATATTAATTTTTATTTCTTAAAAAAAAGACTTCTATTTACTTTGTAAAAACTTAAATCAGCCAAATCAAAGTAAATAAGATAAATAATTAATATAGGAATTTTTAGAAGAAGATTAAAAATAGATTTTAGCAAAAATTACCTCAAAATATGAAGAATTTATATTTGGAGAGGACTAGTTGTGAACCAAGGTTGAAATTAGATCCCAAGGTACAAAACCTTACACCTATGGCAACTCTAGGGTTCTTTGGTTGATTGGAGAGTGGGATTTGGAAGCAGACTTGTGAGAGGATTTTTGAGAAATGATTTTATATAATTTATAAACTTATTTTTATTTCTCAAAATCTAAATCCATTGAACATATCTTTCATATAATTTTAAGATTTCTTTATTATTATTTTTTTAGATTAACTTATGACTTTTTATGTTTCTTATATATATATATATATATATATAATTAAAATTTAATTAATATGATTAAGAATTATTTAGAATTAATTTAAGATTTTATTAGACTTGAAAGGATCTTTTTGTTGCATTTTCTATTTGCTTTTCACAATTAGTTGCCTAATACATTTTCTAGCAAGAATTCACGTTATATAACACCACAAATGAAGCTTGCGATTCTATATAGATTATGATTGTAATGTTGTTATAGACTATATATTAGATTTATTTTGAATGAAATTTTATAATAGAAAAAAAATAATTTGTAAATTTGAACGAAAAGATTCACTATTATAATTTTGGATCTAGGTCTTTTGAATGATTTCATAGTTGCAATATTTATTTCTATAGAAACATCCAATGATATGAAGGTGACTATTCATAAATCAAATGAAGTAAAGTCAAACTAATTCAAACTTAAACATGGATGTTAATTTACTTTCAACTTATTATAAATATAGTTGTGGTTGTTTTTGCATCTATAAAATTAAAGAAAACAACCATTCTACTCTAATTGCACAAAGAAAAAATCTTACAATCTGTTAATAATGATCATGGTTGTGCTTAATGTCAATCATTAGATACAAAAAAATACATGTAATTTCTCAAACATTCATATACTAAAATTGCAACAAGTAGCCATGGAAATCAACATCTATAAGAAGGTTATATGGTTTAGGATTTAAGATTTAAGATTTAAAGTTTGAATGCTGAATAAATTGAAGTATTTTTTGTTGTGACAAATGTTCTTCAAAAGCTGGATTTTGTTTTTTTCTTCATTACATATCAAAGTATTTTAGAAAATATATTTTTATATAGTATATCCCTTACCTTTATTTGCATTTTCAATGAAGTCATAATTATACTTGCATATTCAAGAATTGTGGCTCTTTAACTAAATGGTGGGCAAACATCACATTTTATCTTTAAAATTTTTATTGAAATTAATTGGAAATTAATATATAATTTCATACATATAAGTCATATTATCAATATCATTTATATAACAAAGTTCACTGTTTGAGACAAAACATATGAACATTATTATCATTTTGTTGATATTTTAGATCAAAGTTTGTAAGATCTTATCAAACTTTTGATACAATATTTGGTAAATAAGTTAATTGTATTTGGTGGAGATTTTTGTCAATGTCATTTAATTGTACCCTAAGACATGTGAGCTTCTATTTTTGTAGCCTTTTTGAAGTATTTAGTATTTTGGCATGTAATACATTTTCTTAGATTGAATAAAAGTATATAATCTTAGATTATATAATTTTCTTAGATTATATAAAAGTATCAAATTTTGCTTCTTAATTCTTTGCAAAGTATATCTTGAATCTTCTTAATAGTGTGGAGCTTGTAATTTATCACAACATAAATAATACAAATACAAAAGTTGATTTTTATCTTGGAATCATATAATACGAAAATCTATAAGTATTAATAGATTATTTTATTAAGACTTGATTGCATATCTTTATATAATCGACTATATTAATAGCCAAAATATTTTAATAACAAACATCAATATCAATCATATTAATTTAATTATTGGTGATTGTAATCCTCTTCACCAATACATGTTTTAATCCACAAGCATTATTGCATCTCAAGATGGCTAAGCGATAGTATGTGGAGTAGATTTTTTTTAACACCTTTGCCTTGTTGAGTATGCCATCTTGTAGATTGGTATTGAAAGTGGGTGTTTTGGTAATACTATTGGACAATCTTGATGTATCAACAAGCCTATGCAATGTCCCATGTATAATCATTGTCCATCTTGAAAACATGTTAATTTTTGCTTAAATCTTTGGCAAGAATCACACTAGTGAGAAAATAAATATTTTGTAAATTACGACTATGTTGTAAGAAAATAAATGTCCTTCTATGCTTATGCAACATCAATTCCCAATTCAATTGGCCTTTGCAATGACAATAAATAAAGTGTAAGGACAAACTATGAGAACAATTGGTGTATATTTTCATGACCATGTGTTCATCCATAGTCAGCTTGATGATTGCTTTTTCTTGAGTTCCATGTGATGCAAAGGTCTTTATTTGCTATGCAAATAAAAAACCCACAACCAATGTTGTGTATGGTAAAATGTTTTAATAACAACAAATGATTTAATAGCTAAATGACTCTAATAATCTTTTAGCTTGCTAAATAGGTTTTTTATAGTATATATGTACATATCAAATAAAAATTATATCTTCATATATTAATTAATAGTAAAATTTAAATTTAAAACTTTATTTATAAAAATAGGTTTTAAATGTATTAAACTAAATTCTTGATTATTTCTTTTGTATTATGTTAATTATTAATAAATATTTAATTATATAAAAAATAAAATAAAATAATTAATTCTCAACATAGAATTAATACATTACTACTATTTTTATTATTTTTTTTAGAATATAAATAGTTTTAGTTCAAACTTCAATTTTTTCTTTTGATGATAATATAATATTTCAGAGCTTCTATATTTTTTGTCAGAAGTTTCAAATAATCAATTGTCCTAAACACAAAAATCAAGTTGAAATATGTATATAAAAGAAAAAGATAAGAATTATTTGTAGATATGATTATGTTAAGGACTAAGACTAATATACCACATGAACAACAAAAAGTAGATTAATTTTTTGAATATTTTTATCTTAACATTCTACATTCAATAATAATAATAATAATAATAATTATTATTATTATTTAAATATAGTAATAATATCTTCACCTCCATTCTCTTTGTCATCCTAACAATCATCATTGTTACTATACCACAAAGTCAATCTAATGTATTTTGTTGCAAAATTACAAAAGGATGATGCAACTCACAAAATTACTGAAAAAGAAAAGAAAAAGACACAAGCTCACAAAAAATTAAAAAAATGACAAGGGCACTAAAATGGCAACGTAAAAAGTCTCAAATTGATGCAAACACAAGTCTATCGGTTTCAATGCTAATACTATGATGCACACATGGAATAAAGCTTAGGGTTGATATTAGTGAGCTTTTGCACCAGTTTGAGGGCAAAGTTGGAGGGATCTCCTCTGTCAGAGATAATACCAAAAGTCCAACTCTGGAGAATGACTTGGCCCTTGTGTGAGGCTCTTTGTGATGCCACATGTATCTATGGATGAATGAATGCGGATGTGTTCTGATTTACATGCGGAATCAATCCTTCAAATTCGAAAACACGGAGGGAGGGAGGAACGAGCAACCTAACGGACGGAAGGGCAGACGAACGATTATCATCCGTAAACAATTTTGCTGAGCAGGCAAACCCTAATTTGTGCAACGAAGACGAAGACAACAACGATCGCGCCCGCGAACTGGAAATCCAAACAAAACTTCAAACAAAAATGAAGTTAGCGGGCGTCCAGGCATGGTCATGAAGTTGTCGAGGATCATCGTGGTTCAATCCGGACGAGGAAGACGCGGACTGACATGAAGGATTGAAGCATGTTGTAGCTGTATTTGTGGTGCAGGTGTTTGGCGTAGGGGCTTCGGGCATTTGGGACAGGTTTCCTCTGGATTGAAAGGGGTTGTTATTGTTCTCGATTGATCCGAGGCTCGGTTGATTGAAGAAGGATTCTGTAGTTGCGTATGCAATGGAGTTGCCGCTCCTGGAAAATAGTGCTGTGCGGTGGACCGTGGTTCGAGTACCGGCCGGTGCGCCTTCTTCTTTAACGCCTTGTTGCCCCCGCGCTATCGATGTCGGGGGTGGAGCCACGCTTTCGTCTTCCCCCTCCGCTCCCCGCGCCGCCACTGTTGTATGGTGCGTAATCTTGGACTTGAAGTGTTGCATTGTACTTGTTTGGTGAGACATTTGGCGTAATGCCCGGAGTAAATTTTTGCCTCAAAGTAGAAAAAGCAGGTTTTGCAACTGCAATGTGTTTGGATGTGCGGGAGATGGTTACTAGAATTAATGAAGATTTTATTAAGGAGCTGGAAGTCGAGCAATTTACGAGCGGTTGTAATGTTGATCTGGTGATTAGTATCGATTGCGGAGTCATACAAACTTCTATTATGAGTGACACTATTATCTCCAAAGCGCTACAAGCACTTCAAACATACATCTAGTTCTGCATGTATGCAGAAGTTGAACGTTTGGATTTCCTCTAAACCCTGAGTTAGGAAAATGCTTAGTTTACACAGTAGAAGATTAGGAGGTCCTCTGTTATCTCTTTCTCCTCCTTGCCCGTAGCACAATCGAATAAAACATTCTGAGAAAATGGGTTGCTCGAGGTCCTTTAAACTTAGCTGTAGGAGTGCTAGTTGGTGTCTACTATGCTTTTACTGTTTGTACCGCATTCAGGGAAACCTTGCATGGATTATTATCATTATTATTATTATTATTTTTTGATGAAGCATATTAACGAATATTAGTGCCTCTACCGGCGATATTCCGCATTTTAAGCCTCTAAGGTCATACGTAATTAATCCCGACAACAAGGTCTAAACTGAGTGAAGACTCTCTATCAACGACTCCTCCAACATCGAGGACACTGGTACTGTATATTGGTAGCGGGGACTTGGCTGGAAGTGTAGATATGGGTGTTGAAGGCCCTTTACAGGCTTGTGACTTAGTTTGATTTAGTGATATCTCCTTATTCTAACTTTGCTGCCCTTGAATTTAGTTTTGACACCTAGCTAGACTGGTGACTTTCAATGACTCCGGTCTCTTTCAAAAGAATAATGAGCAAAAGCCAGTAGGGGGACTTGCAAGCAGTATTTTGTTGTCATTCAGTCCGTGCTGAGTTCTGGCGAGAATTCAAGCTGGACGAGTTCTACATTACATGCAGCTGGTCTCATGCGCATATTTTTTCAATCTTTGCAGGCGCATTCATGCAGAGTCATCCAAAGTGTTGGAAATCATTGAAATTTCAAGCCACCAAGATCTTCATAGGAGGGGACTTCACCTTCTGTTTGAAGAGGATCTCACCACGTTTGCTTGTGTCGTCCCATCTCAAGTATGATTTTCTCACCTTATTGCTTATACGTATTTAACTGAATGAGTTTTACTCGGAGTTGTTCCTCACCATCATTCCCCGCCTTGATGGTTAGAGGTTCCAGATTTAAGGTTTCCCCACACAGGCCCGCGTGAGATGGTTACGTTGAAGACGTACGATCTAATTTGAATGGTCGAGGTTATTACACTTCTCAGTCGATCCTGCCATGGTCTGAAAGATTCATCTGTCTCTTATCAGGAATGGAATAGTGATAAGGTCTTAAACTAATTTATTTCCGGATTTTGTCTTGTTTTTCGTTTTGCGAGTGCTGGAAGTAACGCGGAAAGATTAGTTGGTTAGATTTAGAAATGAACTCGAGATTTTTTTTTTGTGGTTGCAGATCCCAGGGAAAGCCCAGTACGTTGTGTGGGTTTTGACTGTTGGTGGCGTTATCTATCGAGTGCACGTCACTGGGGCAGCAGCCGGCTGGATGCTGTGTGGTAACCAGCAGCATGATGCGTCCGTTGACATACAGCGAATGCATGAAGTCACTGCATTTGCCGTTACTCCCAACGTTTTCTGCCTTGGTGGTCAAACTGGCTCCATCATTTGCGTACCTTTTGGAACAGGTTCTCCTTCTACTTCTGGAGCTGGTGAGTTGCTAGCGCATGCTTGCACTAGTGTTAGAGTGTTTCACTCGACATGTTCAATGTCAAGTCTTTTCAAGTGCTATTTTTATTTATGTCTAGATTAGATTCAAACTTTGACCTAATTGGTCGTATGATGTTCCCTTAAGCATCTAGTTCGTCTTAGAATCAGTCCGCTTTGGCACTGGTGGTGTGAACTTGCTTCTTTTTATTCTCTGAGGTGATTGGGTTGGAAAGATTTTTCCATCGTTCGATAAGTCGCTTACCTTTTCTCCCACTAAGCTGGTCGTTTATTGTGTGACAGAATCTCCTTTCGAGTTGAAGGATGCTGATCATGGAATCAGGGGATTGTGGGGTTTTGTGTCGAGGTGATATGCTTGCCATTCTCATCATCACATGAGCCCAGCCCTCTGCAACCGTTCCTCATGCTCATTTCTGAACTGAGTTATTAGCTTGTATCTGATTAGATCTATCTTACATGCAAGCAGGGGTAAAAGTGCGGGATCGGTAAGGAGCTTAGTTGCTCGACTGGTGAATGGTTCATTTTTTTTGTTTGCTCTACACGAGGATGGGACGTTAAGACTCTGGGATCTGCTTCATCGCTATCGTGTGTTGAATCATCCACTTTCTACGGAACGGGAACTTGAAGGCAGGTCTATCCCTTCACTGTTTGTATTGAGTCTCCAGCTGCAACGAACGGAAGTTCCTTGCTTTTAGGTTTCCATCGTGGGTTTTTTCGGATCCGGCGTCAGTGATACTGGTGTTTGCAGGTCATTACAACCAATTTAATTTTTTTTGGCTCGACACTACTTTATCTACGACGGTGTGTCGTACTTTGTCTTGCGATGCTCGATATGAATTTTAGCTGTATGTCTTGAACTGGTGAATGACTTTTGTCAGCAGATTTTGAACCAAAGCTGATGTGGGTGAAGGAGACACTTACCTTATCAATGGCTTTCCAAATTGCGTTGCTATGTAATTCCTCGGTAAGTCGGAAACTCAACCACCATGCATGGCTCATGTTCAATGTAAAGTCTTTTAACATCTGTAAATAGTGAAAATATGAGTTAGCTGACATGTAATAGTCTGTTGTGTTCCAAGGATACCAGCCGGGAGACTGTATTTGTTTGTTCGGTGGCAGTGGGTCCTGGAGAGGGAGCGGTCCTTCGGCAGGGTTTTATCACAGTTCAACATATGATCTCTCTCCCTGAGGTGAGTATTCTCACAAGCTTCTCAGTAGCAGTTCTCATGAAGCGGTGAAAATATGGGTCTAGGTTATCGTCACTCCTGGAAAATCAAGTACTTTACCATGAACCGTGACTGTGATTGTCGTGCATGTTGTTTGTTATTGCTTGTTACCTAAGCACACAGTTAATCGGTTTTTTTTAAGGAAAGCATAAGGCTGTCTACCTTGCAGATAAAATGCCGGTATGTAAGCACTTTATTTGAATGCATAAAGTTTTGGACATCTCTTTTGTGATGCAGGGAAAGGTTATAGACCTTAAATTGCTGGAGGCTGGTGTATGGACTCTGCAGTCAACTAAAAAGAGCCACGAGCTTCTATTTTCTGACTTCAGCAAGTAATCCTCGCATTCCTGTACTAAAACCCCTAGTTATGGAGTTCATGAATACCAATAGCTTTTTCTACTGTAAACTTCTCTAGACTTACTCGAGTAGAAGTGGGGACGCCATTCATTAGTTCATTGTGGTCCTGAATCAGTTGTGCAAAACCTTGTTTACAACCTTAAAGCTGCGAAACGCAGCTTGCCTACAACTTCTTCAGCATTGACGTATCATAAACAACTATGTTCCTTTCTTTATTTATATGCCTGTGGCATCACGAGGAAGTAATTCAATCTTAGATTTGGAGGTGGCAATTATCGAGAGTCATAATGTCAACTAAGGAGTTCAACTACGATCAGAACTTGAGCAGGAAAAACGTTTTCACATTCTAATGTCAGTGCTCCATAATATTAAGTTGTTCGTCTGATTGGCTTTTTTCAGCTATATGGACAATCCTGTGCTTTGATTTGTTTTCAGGGAAGGGAGTTTGGAAGTGGTTCATATGCTGGAGAAGAGTGTGGCGGAACAGTTGATGCAAGTTCCAGGCGACGAATGGAGTGATTTTCTTTACACCATTCATCCAACACTAGGCGTTTCTTCGGTACGACCAGATGACTTATCCGACTGCTGTAGTGATATTGAGTGGCTCATTGGAGAATTTCTATTCAAAGCTTATCCTGGTATGCTTTTTGTGTCCATGAAATACAACTATTACCGATTTAGCCGCTGACATTGTGTGGATTTACAGAAGCTGAAACTTTCAGATGTCTTCCTTCGAAGGGTATTTCAGCCAGGAGTACGACAACCAAAGGCCCTTCAGGAGGCCTTGGAACAGCATGGTCGTCCAATTAGTGATTCTGACCTTGCATCAGTGTCTCTGGATGCTTTGCGAAGTCATATTTTTTCAGCGATTGAATCAGAGGTATGAAGTCTGTTATGGCATGACTTTTGATGTTGTAGTGTTGCAGTTCTGTTACATTTACATTTTGTATGTAAGCAGTGATAGCAGCACTTGATGATACGTTCCACAATATTGGAAATAAATTTAGTCTAACGTGGCATCACTTGCCAGAGTTGTGGCGATAGCCAAGCACAGATTCTTTACGGATGGATGCGCTTCAGTGGTGATTATGTGAGGGCATGGACACATTTTAACAAGCCGTATTCTATTTTGTTGGACGCTAACACTAATAGCGTTGGTTTGATACGCCGATCTTCAGTTGCACTTGTTAGGGCTCTGACGGATGTGGAGCAATTTTCTCCTGGTTAGTTATTTATTTATTTATTTATTTATTTATTTATTTATTATGCTGTGTTTGGTTGTAAATGATAGTGCTTAGTCCTTTTGGACCTGATTGCTTTGCAAATTTTACTCTAATATTACTTTTCATTCTCCTTCGTAATCTACTTGAATCGCATGAGAGAACTATTCGTTTTAATTGAAACATTTATTTCATGGAAATTGTAGGAGGCCATATCAGTAACCGTGCAACATTACCGGATGAATGGAAGAATTTCAACAAACACGAACAAATCATTTTATTAGAGCTTAGTAGCTGTGCTAAACTTATCGTCGATCACTTGGGTCGAGTAGCAATGGGCCTACTTTACGAGTCTTTTTTGCGGCCAGTGGATCAATCAGTTCCAGGAATTCTGCCATCTCTTGCTCGAATTTTGGATTTGGGTTTTAATTCCAGCCTCGTGGCTGATGAAATTGGACACATGGGGGTTGATGAAATCCGTTCCAAGGAGCAAGATCAACACCGGAGGCAGCGGGCATTCGCACTGCATATAGCGCATGCTTTGCAAACCCTGCAGAGTAAGGCAGGGGGTTGGGACAAGCTTTTTCAAATTATTTCCAAGTACGTTGACTTGCTTGCGCTCCAGTCACAGCCTATGCTAACCTCCACAGGCAGCACTAAAGGAATGGACAGTGGTTTAATTAAGAGATTGCTGTCACAGTCTACTTCTCAAATAGCTTGGGCCCAATTCAAGGCTGCTCGTGACCTTTTACTGCTGCTGGTTTACTCTGTCAAAGTTGGTATTCAGGTCTGTCAAAACGCTTTACTTTTAATTCTTCGATGTGGTGACTTGAACTACTCAAGCTTCTTTAGAGAATTGGACTGGTGAATTTTGATTTAGGTCGTTGCAAGTGAGTAACTGGGAGGGTTGTATTCTGCCAACTTATAAGCCACGACTTGTCAAATTTCAAGATAAAGTTCCTGCAATGCTGGTTATAATCCTTTGTTTAACTTTGTAATTTTGCAATCAAATGTTCAGGTTGGACTCACTTCAAATCAGATTTCTTTCATGAAGTCTCATACGATCCCAAGGATTCAGGAGATAATGACTATGCGTTTGTTAGTTCATTGGTTGACTGTCACGTTTGCAGAAGTACCACCGGCCGAAGATTTTAGTTCCCAGCTGTCATCCTTACGACTTGGTAAGTACAGTGTGCATCTCATCTCAAGTTCGTTGATTTCTTCCTGTACAAGATGTCGTTTTAAATTCCAAAATTCTGATCTCATGTTGGTTGTGCTCAGATGGTACGAGTAGCAGGATTGGAAGTGGGTTCATGGTTTCTGGAGAATCTACACTAGGTGAAATGCTTGTATCTACATTTTTGGAGTCAGACAAATCAAGCTTAAGCCTGCCTGAGGGAGCCCTACCAGATCAGGATATGCTTCTTTCTCACTCATGGCAATTTGTGAAATGGCTTTTGTTGGGAGAAAATGGCAAATCTTCACAAGGATTTCCTGGACGTGCCATATCACTTTCAAATATATTACTTCAGCATGGGCAATACAGCAGCCTTGAGGTATCATGCGCTTTCATTTTTTTGAATTAGTAATTCTGTTTATACAATGTAGCTCTTCAATCGTAAAAGTACTTACATGGTAAGACAGACAGTACTACTTGCACTAACATAAATCGTGTGTGAATGTGTGAAATGTTCAGAGGTTTCTGACCACAATAGAGCAGTTTTCTTCCCAGCAAAAGCTTGCAGAGGGGACTAAAACAGCCGATGGGCTCTGGAGTGCACGCTTGCACCTACTGGGATTTTGTCTACTCGCACAAGCTCGTACTGAACTGAAGAACAATGGTAAAGAAATCCGGGTTGCGGAGGCTATTCGCTACTTCTTCAGGTGAAATTCTTATGCCAAATCACCCCTTCGTCCTTAGACAAGAAGCACTTTGATTCCGCTTGCCTCGAGTGGTTTCTTATCGTCGTGGTTCATAGTTGTTTCTTTTCTCAGGGTTCATTATCGATTTTTTCCAAGTTGAGTTGGGAATGAACTTTATGTGTCTGTCTATTCAAGCAGAGCCGCATCGGGTTTGGGAGAGGCAAATGAAGATCTTCAGTTTGTTTTGGGAACTGGCTATCAGCAGAACCTGCCAGGTACTAATTACTACCCTGAATTTCTCTTCGTTGTATGCTCTGGCTACCTGAAGCATTTCGCACTCCTGACTTACTCTTTTTAATCATGTGATAGGAATAGGGGCAGCAGCTGCATGGAGACTGCACTACTATGAGTGGGTGATGCAAATATTTGAGCAGTATAATTTAAGTGAAGGTGCCTGCCAGTTTGCCCATGCCGCACTGGAACAGGTTGATGAGGCTGTCGGAAAAGAATCCTTTGACAATGTCGAGAACCCTTTTTCCGACACTTTAGTAGTAGCTATTAGGGGGCGTCTTTGGGCCAATATTTTTAAATTTTCACTAGACTTAGATCTTTATAGTGATGCCTACTGTGCTATCATTTCCAATCCTGATGAGGAGAGCAAGTATATTTGCCTTCGGCGATTCATTGTTGTGTTATGTGAACGTAAAGCCACTCAGGTACATCAGTTATGTCTGCCTTCATCATGCTCGTCTATACCATACAGCTTTTCCAGCTTTAACTTCTCCAATCGTACTCTTCTTTAGTGTTAGTCTGTCCTAATATATACTTTCAGCGGCTAATGTTCTTGACGGTACTTATTTCATTTGACGAAGTTGTCCCTTGTGCAGGTTCTCTGTGCCCAGGAAGTGCCGTACGTTGGACTTTTAGAGAAAGTGGTTCAGGAGCTCCTTTGGAAGGTGGTACCTCAACCTTTGCCTTCTTGCATGATATAATATTTTGTTTTAACGACTTAGAAATTATGTAGGCTACAGTTTAGTCAGTCATTGACGAATTACTATTGTCAGAATCATAATAGTTTCATAAGGGTTGCGTCATCTCTCCTGTTAATTAGAACAGGTTGTGTTGTTTTATTTGTTGCAGGCTGAAAATTCAGATATAAGTGCAAAGCCGAGTCCTTACAAATTGCTTTACAGTCTCCACATGCAACGACACAACTGGCGCAGAGCAGCTGCATGCATGTATCGTTATGCTGTGCGAGTCAGAGAAGAGTCCCGTACACCCAACTTACAGGAAGAAGTGCATGGCATCTTAGCAGCTATTAATGCATTGCAGTTGGTGGATCCCATAAATGCTTGGTTTGAACTTGTTCCTCGACCTGGCGAATTACCAGCCCCTTCGAAGCGACAGCGCCTAACAGCAACACATGCAGGTTAGTTCTCTTTCAGTGGCTTTTAGATATTTGAGAAAATTGCTGGGTTCAGGATCTGGGTTCAGAATTTGCTTGAAGATCAGCAGTAGTGTGAGTGATTTAGCCAAGTTTCGAACAAGGATGTTTCTTTTATTCGCTTGTTGTGATTCTGGTGTTATTGTTATTTATATTGGTAATCCATTTTGTCTTTGTCGATCATCAGTTCCAGGTTCCTCTGAGAAACGTGATAAGAAAGCATGCCGAGCTGTTGACCTTGAGGACCTCGAGAAGGAGTACGCCCTCACAAAAGCCAGGCTGCAGCTCGCTCATTCTGAAGTTAAGCATTTGGTTATTGGTGAGTACAAATCAACTTTCAATGAAGATTGTTCGATAGGTTGTTTTGTGACCCCTAATTGACTTGTTTTTTCGTTAGGAAGTTTTGAAGGTACATAAAATCTGTAGGATTTATTACGTCACAACAAATTTGTGGACTTTAGAGAAGTTTATTCTGATCTGTTCACAAACTTGAGCAGGTGGGGGTGCAACACCGGAGGAGGTTGTGTGGTCACTTATTCAGTGCCGGCTATATGAGACAGCCTTTTCGATCCTCTTTCTGTTTTGGAAAGATTCTTTATTGAAAAGGTTTGTAAATGAATACTGGTCGTCAGCTCATTTTTGTAGAATTTTGGTGATTTTTTCAATTGTAGAATTTCTCTATTGTAGTAGTGTGCTATTATTTATTTATTTAACTACTTAATTTTTAATGTAAGTGACACACGGTAGCTTGAGTCTTCTGAAAGCTGACTCATGCAATACAGGGAACTGGAGAAAATCATGGATGTCATGGCGAGGAACTGCTGCTTACTTCAAATTCAAGAGGTTGCTCCTGGTTCTTTACTGTGAGTGAACCTGGGCTCCTTGCCCGACTTTCTTTGCACTTGCTCACATCTTTTAAATGTATTGCTAATTGAGACAACTTTGAAGCTTGCTTTCCTTCTCCACGTCTTTTCGCAGCCTTTTTAGGGTTTCTGCTGACGAATGGACTGTTATTTTACATGTGTGTACTGGTACGATATCATAATTTATCCAAGGCTGTACTTGGAAAGATATTGGCCCGTCCCTACGAAGCTCTTCTTCTTGCTTGCCCCTTTTTTTTTTTTTTTTCTTCTTCCTTTGGATGCAATTCGCTTGATTGATTAGTTCTGTTATCCAGGTCAATTGTCAAGCTGTCAGGTTAACTAAGGCCAGATCTCTGCAGAAACATGTTCTTCACCAAGATCTAATATATCGTATGCAAGGGGTTTGTGAAGGCTTTTAAACTGTGAATTCCACCTGTGTACATTTCAAGAACATGTGGAAATTATTTAACCCTACATTTATGCAAATACTGTAGGTTGAAAGGAGAACCTGTGTCTAGGTTGCTACTCACGTCTGGCTCACAGCTAGCAGACATAGAGGAAAACCATGACAAGAACGGAGAAGATGAGAGGGAGGACGAGTTGCCATCAGCTGGAACTGCACGGACTGCCTGGCTATCACTTCAGCAGTATTTGGTAAGTCGCGTTGTTTTTTTAGTTCCTCCACGAATAAGATTGCAGTCCGGCACTACATTTATAACTTTCATTGGTTACACCCTGCCAGTTTAGCAATTGTAAATCATAACTCATTCTAGTCTGGTTCATTCTTACATTTTGTGCAGGAGAAATATCGAAGTTTCCATCCACGCCTACCTGTGATAGTTGCTGAGTCTATTCTCAACGTTGATAAGCACATGGAACTACCTCTGTGGCTTGTTAACATATTCAAGGCAAGTTTACCATTGAACATGTAACTTCCTGTTCTGAATATGCATGTCTTGTATCTAGTTTCTGACATAGACCAACTATACAGGGCGGGAAGGAAGCTGGTGCTTCAGGCATGGCAGGTGGGAAGGAAGCTGGTGCTGATCCTGCTGCATTATTACGCATATATCTGGACTTTGATCGCCTTGCTGAGGCGACGGCTCTTGTTCTAGAGTATATTAGAGCATGGAGTAGCTTGGTAAGTGCCATTGAATTCAGCCATTTTCATATTAAATATTGAACTGTATACTTGAAGACAAGTCTTTTCTACAAAGTTGATCATTTTCACTTTGCAAGTTTTGGTTCCTTTTTTTACAGATCGGAGTTCATTCGTGGTCAGTAGTGGCTGCTCTTTGAATCGTTGATGCGAGTCAATTAAGCACTAGTGCGTTAAAGCTTAGCTCCATTCTTGGTTGCAGAAACCCGCAGATGTGATAAAGCGGAAGCGCATGTGTGCGGTGTGGTTCCCTTATACCGTATTGGACAGATTACAGAATTGTCTATCAAAGTCTTCTGACATGGCAGTGCGTGATAAGCTGCAAGATTCCTTGAAATTTGCCTTACAAAATCACTTCAAACTGGTAATGCCCAAGCGACTCTTAACTTGGTATTTGGAATTTCCACATTTCTATTTTCTTCTCAAATGTGGTTTTGAACAGTTCTAATGGTGTTAATGCACTGCTTTTTTATTGCAGTTAAAGGCGGACTCTGATGACGTCAAGGCTTCTATATGAAACACAGTGCCTCTGGAAGCTGTTAAACGGAGATGTAACTGTTGATATACTTGGCACTTTCTGTACGGTGATTTCATGTCATGTACTTTGTGCCTTGCTTATCCCCTGCCTTTGTACAAGGACACAGTCGGAACATTCGAGCATTACTCATGGGATGCACGTTTTGTAGCATAGCAGATTAGGGAGGTGTTTTGATAGTTCTGATAGTTCTCTATAGACTTGGTGTGAGATAATCCATGACATGCGTGCAAGGCGTGTCTTTCCTGTTAGCGTATTCTCATTTAGCAAATTTGCATGAGAACATGTGAACGCTGACGGAATTACAGAGCAAAGCGGCCAGCGCTGGTGGCGACTGTTTATTTAGAGACGAGTAGTTCAACTAATTTAGAAGTAGCGTTTGACATCTACAACACCTGAAATTTTCATCATTAAGCTTGGCTGATGGATGTATATCCACACACATTCTGAAACGTCTACTCATCGTATTTACTATCGTCATAGTTTGCCTCGTGCTATCCGTACAAGTATTATGAGTGTCATGAAGCGGATTCAATTGGGCTAGCAAATTTTTACATGAAGAGTTTAGGGGGAAAAAGGAGCTTTTTTAATATTTATACCTAGACTAATTGACAGTGTTTGAAAACTTGAAATATATACTTTCACACATAGATATGAAGCCTAAAAAGTACGTCAATTAGCGTGACAGGCATCATTAGGGTTAGAATGAATTATATGACGTTCATACAATTACATGAAACTGACCGTTTTTTAAAATATAACCAGAATGTGAGCTCAAAAGCTAGAACTTAGGACAAGACTCATCTTCACTCAACATTTTAGAGTTTTTCGTGGAAAACAAGAGCTAATCTATATTTGTGAATTTTTTATGAAACCATCTTTTCATTTGATTACCTTATCGTAAAACTGTGTTCAAATATTGTGTAAATGTTCACATTTTCAAAATTGAAAGATTATTTCCAAAATGTGGGTGGTCCAATGTTAGAATGAAAACAAGAATACTATTTCGAATCAGCTACCACGTTCCTGAAGTTTAGGTGGTTGTAAATAAGGTTGAATAAGAGGGACTTTGATCTGTTTAGCATAACTTGCTGCTCTTTCTGCAGCACTTCTACGAGATATTTGTCCTCGTGGCGTAAGATTAGGAGAAATAGCTGGATCAGTTACAAAATTCTTTAATTTCCCAAACCAAGGAACATCATGATGTGGGTCTTCATATGATTTAGCAACGGTACGGACAAGTGCATTATCATCCAACTTCGTTTTGGCGAGTGAAGATCTATTTTGCATGCACTTGATTAATGGTATAGTTGGTCGTTTGGGTGATCCACGAGGCTTCTTTTTAACACAGCAGGAGCTCACAAGTCCTCTATCTAAAATGCAAAGATTCATGTCTTACGTTAAGAAGTAATATTAAATTTGGAAAATTTGGCACACATACAGATCTCTCTCTCTCTCTCTACTTATCTATATATATATATATATATATATTTTTAAACACACACATAGACAAACATACACATCAATTTAACAGACATCAATCTTTTGAAATTATTTTTCACGATTATTTGTTCGATTGAAAGACTACAAAATACATGATATATATACTGCATTTCTATCTAATATAATGATATTACTTATTTGGATTGTGAGGTCCTTTGAAAATTATTCAATGCACCATAAAAGTTGGCAATTACCATTATTTCATTACTGTACTTTATTTCCACCTCAAAAGATATGAACTACAAAGAAACACCAAGTGACATTACCAGTTTTTTGCTGGTCTCTCAGATTTCCTTCACTTCCTTTCTTAGCTGACCCACCAGAACTTGAGGCCACTGGAGATGGTGATGCTTGCACTGACTTGGCTCCTGGAAAGCTTGCTGAAGGCCAGCATTGACAAGGAAATAGTTAGGTTTTTGGAACAAAACATAATTTTACAGCATTGTTGTGAATAAAAAACATAAACAGAAACAAGGATTTGCAAATCACCACGCAACATGGTGACCGAGCTTCGAAAAGAGTTCCTAACCTGACTGCAGCGGTGCCGATTGAGAACCAGGAAGGGGACTTGTGGAACCGACAGAGATTTGTGGAACCGACAGAGATCGGCGAGGCGATTGAGAACCAGGAGGAGGACTTGGATGTGGGGTCAAATGGAGTCTGGCTCTGAGCTTCCTTGTCGGACTTCCGAGATCGTCGTTCAAATGTGGGGACTGAATTGTGGGAGAATGCGGCCGAGGAGACCCTATTCGCTTCACGGATCTTCCGAGTGGAATCTTCTCTGGTTTCTCTGTCACAGGCAAGTAGGTCATCGCCTCTCTCGCTTGGTCTCCAAGAAGAGGTCTTCCAGGTGGAGTGAGCGTAGGCGAGACAGCGTAGTCTGTGATATAAGACTTGCACTTGCCCCAGTATGTGGGATCGAAGTTGGGAGCCACCACTGACCATCCTGGAGGGGGGAATTCCTTACCTGATTTGCCAACAGGATAACCAGGCGAATTTCTCTTTCTTGCACCACCCGTAGCATTCGGCCTAGGTTTTATTTGGGAGGGCTTCCGTTGGGAGCGTGCCAGTGCATTTAGCATGGATTGGAATTTACTCACGGATTGTCCAAGCGGAACCTGATCAATCTTAGATGTTGCAGGCCATGTCATCGCGTCCATGGTGCCCACTCCGTCAATGGGTCTGCCAGGGGGTGTCATATTCGGTGAGCAGGAAGGATCTGTGACATAAGACTTGGTGCGCCCCCAGAACTCACCCGGTTCATCACTCGGTCCAGCAGGAACAGCAACGTTCAACCATTGTGTTACATCCGAGCTTGGCTTTCCAAAGTAGTGATCTCGGCTGGCGGGTCTGGCAACATCCATGTACCTTATCCATTCCGTCACATCGTTTCCCTCCTTGCCGAAGTAAGGGTCAGGAAGACTCATAATCTTGGGATCTTGGGCATGCGATGGCGGCGGAAGGTGACAGAACATCGTAACGTCCGACCCCTGTTGTCCATGATAGAAATCCGCAGGAGTCTGAAATTGTTTTAGCGGTGGTTGATTCCAGGGACCTCGAATTTGAGCGTGCCTGTGCGGAAAGTCTGAGAAATCGTAATAAGTGCATCTTGTTTTCCTTCCCATGGCTATATAATATTATCTCCTCGTTCTGTTCTCACAGATACTAACTTAATACCTAGGATCCATAAGAACCATCGCGGAAAAATAACTCAATATCCAAGACATGAAGAGGCCCCAAAACGATGTGAAACCACGGCGATTCTGATTTTGCCGTTATCGTATATCGATGCAAGATGAGAGAAATCCAGCAACCACGCTACAAAGGAATCCTCGTGCAAAATCTTCGCGCAGGGGGATTGTACGGCATTCGTTCTGGAAGACAGCTTCTATGCCTGCACAAATAGCTGGTATTGAGTGAAATGCCAGGGATTCTTGTAGTGATGGACTCAACATGAACCACACCATGGTGAGGTATGACAAGCCTGCGCCTGTCGAGATCTAAACCAGGTAGATTCGCCAGGGATCATGCGCATAATATGATGTAATGCTTAGATGCTGACAGGGAGCATGGTCATCCAAAGAGCTAACTTGCGACTACCCAACAACCAAGTTGATCGCATAAATATTTCGGAGTAGGCAAGAGTAATGGACGAACACATTCTGGCGCCGCGCAATAGTCCAGCCGAACACCCTCAACATATTAGCATGCGAAAATAGGAAGACCAGCAGTTTATTACTTAACTGAAGGTCGCTGATGACCCCTATAGACCAAGAGTCATAAACTTCCAAGAGCGCGGCCGACTCTCATGAAATCGAGCGTTAGAAGCACATAAATGTTTGCTTAACACAAATATGGATAGTGTGTAAATGCTGTGACCAGAGTACCAGCGCTCTAAAACTGTCATTGAAACCCTTGATCATATGAACATGTATAACAGTAATTAAGAAAGTGTATAATTGTATTGAAACTGTGGCAAACAGTAGGTATGTTACAGAAGTACCTGCTTGACATGACATTGCGGAACGTTCTACATTACGTCATAAATCCACCGCTTCGAATCTTAACGAGCGAAAGGATTCTCAAGTACTAGTCAGTGATTGTCCTACCCAACATCTAATCGAAAAATGCTCTGCAATAATTGTATCTCCAAAAGAAGCCGATGAGCATGGGCAACTAGTAGATGAATTAATGGACCGTTGATTAAATCTTAATCATTTTAGTTGTTTCCTCGGACTCTTGAAGAGTCCACATGTGAGCATACCTTCCTCTCTTCGCTAACAGTTCTTGATGAGTTCCCTCTTCTACAACCACACCAGCATCCATGACCTGCATGTATTCATGATATTGATTTCATGAAAATTTCTTATAAATCCAAAATAATTGCAAAATAGAATTCATGCATGTACCTAAACTGATGGTTAAGGAAACGAGATATGCTTGATCCATACCAGAATGCGATCACAGTGCATGATTGTTGACCTGCTCATGCCAAACACATAACACAAAACGATAAGTTCTGAACTGTTCATTGACAAAAAGTAACTTATGAATAAAACCCGCTAGTTACAAAGGGAAATTTCAACAGGTTCGGTGAAGGCGTCTACAAGACATTTTGCATTTCTGATAGCATTACTTACAGCCTATGGGCAACAAAAACACACGTCCGGCCTGCAGCCAACTCTTTCAATGACTTCAAAATAGCCGCCTGCACAACACAAAAACTCATAAATATGTCAGGTACTCAAAAGAAGTTCATAGGGTACAATTAATGAAGATCGCAGCTTACCAACTCGTCGCACACACAGGAGATCATCCACCACCGATAATTCATGCAGTTACTGAGAGTTCACAAGGCAATAGAGCTACGAATTCTTAAAAACAAGTGTTTTTTCACAAAGCCTTGTGGAGTTCCCTTAAACGACCAGAAAATAAAATCTTCGTAATAACCGGTAGTTGTATTCGTACACAACTATATGACAACAGAAAATTCATGTATATTCGAGAGCCACGTATACCACAAATGCGGGGAATCTATCATTAAGGATGGATCTCAGAAGTAGGAAAATGTTAACCATACCTCAGTTCCAGAGTCCAGCGCACTGGTTGCTTCGTCACATATCAATAACCTAGGAGCCTGAAACAGTTATTTTGAAATTGGTTGTGAAAATAAGCAAAAAGAGGTTCTACACATACGATGCATATGTTGAATTGATTCCATATCTACGACAAGAAAAGAAATACGCCCAGAACCGATCCAGCTGCAGAACTGCGTTGTACTGAAACAAATCTCGAGATAATTGAACTCCCTAGATGTTGGACTACATGATAAACGCACACGCCCAGACGAAACTAACATGGCAATCAAACTAAGGAAGAAGAGGCAGTAAAGTCACCGTGTAATACCCAAAAACATAATAGCAAAGGGTTTTACTCCCATATGTTCCAACAAAGAGCAAAAATAAGAAAATAAAATAAAATTCAGAATTTATGCAACATTCTAGCCTAGCAGACCTTAAGTACAAATAATGCAATGCGTTCTAAGCCACCATTCCAGTCGATTGCAGAATATAATTAAGAACTAGATCAGCACAATTACTGAAGTGAAACGAACCTTCAGAAACGCCCTTGCGATAGCGACACGCTGTTTCTCTCCGCCGCTGAGCTGTCCACACCCAGTAAAAACCAACGGAAACTCCACAAGTTAGTTTATCAGAAGACTCAAGGCAAATGAACAAAAAATAGAAAATAATAATTATAATAATAATAAAGAAGGAACGCAACACAGATTATTAGTAAAAGGATTAGGAACGCACACCTTCAAACCACGTTCTCCCACCATGGTTGAATATCCATCTGGCATCCGAAGTACTGCATCATGAAGTCTCTGCAACAACAGAAAGTTCATCATACCCAACGAACATCCTACGAAGGACAAATAAAAATAAATAAAAAGTCAATCGTATGGGACATTAATAGTGCAAAGAAAAAATGCTTTAAGTTTATATGGCATCAGCGCATTACACACCGCCTGCTTTGCGGCTTGAATGACCTGCTCCTGCGTAGCATTTGGTCTTCCATAAGCAATATTGTGCATGATAGTGTCATTGAACAAGACCTGCACAACACCAACCAATTTCAGTTACATCCTAATCAAAGTAAAACAGATTCAAATTCAGGTATACGGAATTAATACAACGTATACATACCGTGTCTTGAGGAACAATCGCCACAGCGCTTCGTAAGGAATCCTTCACACCCAATGAAACTATTTCAGCAGTGGCAGCTTTAAGTTTTGTCAGCAACGGTTCTACTCGGGTAAAGCGAGCAACTAAGGTCGGCAATTGCAATTCACTAGAAATACGAACATTATATCTCAAATAATACTCCCAATTCACCTGAGTTAGACTCTTTAAGTCATGATCATCCAAAAAGAGCGAACCAGAATCAGGATCGTAAAGACGCAATAATAGCTTTACGATGGTTGATCTGCACAAATGGCACAGGTAAGTAAGTTTTCTACTTATCAGAAATTAATAATTTTTCTTTGAGATAAATCAAATCATTCTTCTTACTTTCCAGATCCGGAGGCACCAACTAGTGCAATGCTCTCCCCTGGGTCTGCTTTAAGGTTCACTCCCAGCAAAACCTGCACCCCAATTAAGGTCTGTTTCATGAAAACTCCATGAATAGCACAATAGAAAGGAATATACACATCATAAAATGACCAGGAATTACCCAGTTCACAGCCAGAATAAAGTATGAACACGTCACCAGACTCAAGTCAGCCATAGAGCTCATTGCTGCTCACTAATGAACAAATAATGGATGAATGTTACTACTTCTCAACGTGTTGGAAATATCACCTCTCTTGAAGATGTGTAGCTGAACCGCAAGTTCTGGGCCCTAACTTTTGCACCGGTACTTTTGTACTCCAACTCTACAGTACCGTCCTTTATTAAAGATTCAGTGCTGCAATAAGACCACATTTATAAAGAAAAAATGAGAACAGGGATTTCAACCTTTCCGAGGTCTTCACATGTGTCCGTAAATTAGTTTCCTTCGAAAAGGGTTGTCAAAACCAAAACTAAAACACTGCCTCACCTAGCAAAAATCCATGATATTCTTCCCATCAACTTTAAATTTTAAATGTTTCACTCACGTCAACAGGGGTCTAGTTTCCCAGCAAAGTGGTGGGAGCTTAAGAATTATATATCATGATGCTTATATGCTTAATGCGTCGAAAGCAGGAAACCAAACAAGCAGATATCACAAACTTACACTAAGACCAGCAAACCACGTAATTTTTCATGCAGAAGATTACAGAAACATGGAAGCAGCCAGAAAAGTGATCAATGGTACCTGAGAATGTTGAAGAGACTTTCCAAGTCCACTTGAGACTGCCTGAGATCTCTGTACAGAAAGCCCAGGAACTAGCACCCAAAAACACAAAAACATGAACATGAAGGAAAAAACATCGGTTCAGAGATATACCAAATACTTCCAAATGCGTCTGTTAAAAAAATCCAGATGAATTACCAATACCTACGTAACTATATAGGTGTGAATCTCCACAACGTACTTCCCAATCGCCTTTAAGAACAAATAAACACATCATTGAAAGAGTTCTAGCGCACCTGTAGAGGACCAGAAAGTTGCAATATGAGACCATTGGCAAGTACAAGATCTCCAACTGTAGTAATGCCACGGGTGACATTCCAACCTGCTAAACCCATCACTGCAGCAATGCCAAGTGACAATATGATGGCCTGTCCAGCATTCAATGCCGCCGATAACCGCTCTGCTTCCAGCTGCAATTTCTAAATCAGTACTTGTGATTGTAAATAATATTACAAGTGCATCTACATCTAGATGTTCCTGAAACACAAAAATAAAACAATCCATCCGAAAAACCGATATTTACCGAAGCATTTTGATAGCCTTGCAGGAGTTTGTTGTACTGATCCACCTCCAGGTTTTGATTATTGAACTGCAACAAATGATCAGCAGAAATCATTAGTTGCGGAAATCGGGCGTCTGCGTCCATGTAAAGAGATACTTGTATCAAATTTTTGTCAACCAAATTGTGAAGCCTTCTGCTAAATATGTCAGCTTTCATAATTGACTCGCAATCCTCGTTCTTACTAGATTCTTTATATTCACCACCAGGGATGAGCACAAAGCAAAATGCACACTGAACAAAAATTTACGAAACATCGGGTGGTTATAAAGCATCCAAAAATACGATTGAGTAATGTTCACGGTTGCATGTGATCAGAAAGACACTTGCGCTAAACACACCCTGCGTACCTGTACAACAGTTTCGTAGTTGAGCAAAGCATCGACTGCCTTTCCTGTAGCTAAATTTTCTAATTTGTTCACCTGCATTCACAAATCCAAAAGGCATATTTTCGCGAGTTGTTCCACCAAACTGCAACGGTGATTTTCAACTATACTACTCCATGACAAGAAAGTCTACTCCTAAAATGTAACCAATACAAAAATGAACTAAATCCATCCAGAGTATTCGTGGGCAGTCTTGCGCAGCAGAAGCGTAGTGCACTTTGATTGCCTAAGAAGAATTTGATGTCACTAATCAGCCAAAGAAAATGAGAGGAGCAAACCTCCTTGCGGCTTTCAGCAGCACGAGTGGTAATATGAACAGTCCAGGTTACGTAAGCAGCAAATGTCAAGGCCACTATCCCCGCCACCATACCACTCACTTTCGTCGCCAAAAGCCCACAGACCAGAATGAGCTCGACGAAGGTTGGTATGAAGGTAAAGACTGCCAGAAATTATACCCTGTCAATATGATTGAAAATCTACATGCTTTACAATTTCGGCTGTCACCTTTTTGGCAATGGGAACGCAAAATAGAACATGCTCGAAAGAACTTCAATAAACACTTGAATAGAGAACGGCCATTAAGAGCATAACCGCGATTGGTGAAATGATTAGCAAACATATAATGCATGAGTCATAGACGCTATTCAAGAGATAGTCCTACCGACAGCACGAAAAATGTTGACAACGCTGCGCTGTGCGCGATCTAAAATACGTGTCAAGGCCCCCGTTTTCCTCTCCAAATGAAATGTCATATCCAGCCGCAAAATATGATTCAGCAATTGGATCCCGACGCGACGCCCTGTAATCTGACCTAATGGCGCGAAAATAATGTAGCGTATCTCATTTAGCGAGGAACTGACAGCCTGTCCAAATCAGTAAATTTGATTTAGTAATCATGTTGGTGCAGTTCATTTAGCAGGAATTGCAATTTAAAGACGACTTGCTACTGAAGATGAGAAGTTCAATTTATTTTCAAAAAGATCCAAGTATTGACCACCAGACAATATGTGGCTAGAGCAGGCAAGTGCATTTGTATGTTGCGTATCAGATTAAACAAATCTTAAAAAAAAGAAAGAAAGTAAGCCAAGGTGATCGAGTAAACACAACATTATCATTGGAATGTGCACTGTTATAGACTTGTATCCTGTAGATTGCTTGGCAGTTCTAGAGCAATGAAAAATAGGAATGAATTTACTTTGGAGAGAGCAGCACAAACAAGTGCCACCAAAGCTGGAGTCGCACGACGAAGAGGTGCTTGTGACAGCTCATCCATTGCCTGCTTCAGCAATATCGGACCTGCCAATCCCGCTGCCTGCTCCCATGCAGGTGTACAATGCTTGTCTTATCAATGACTTGAATACCCCACACAAACCTCATACAAATACAAAGGATTCTGTTCGAATGACATCTAATGAAAGAATCCAGGTCCAGAATGTAATGCAAACGAGGAGTCTGTAGTGAAGAGGGAAGTAACGCAGCATGCTCATCTCGAATATAAATATGCCTGTGGAAAAACCTCCCGATTCGCAGAGGCAATGTCATGCTTACTATGAAAATAAATAGACTATCAATCGAGAGATCAGATACATAAATTGCGGGACATTATTACGGCGACATTAAATCGTCATAACATGAAAAGTTAATCCTGACAATGAGCTCAAGCAACTACAGAACGAGACAAGTAATAAACATGACAGGTTGGAAGTAGATGCCAACCTTGCTAGCGACAAGAAGTATCAGTGCAGCTCCAAGCCGCCACCGCAATGTCGTATCGCTGGAAGCCAAACGCCACAAGTATGGCATAATCTAAACCAGAAAATTCGAATTCAGACAATTCAGTTCTATGTCGTTTGCTAGGTAGTGTTACTCTCCCAACACTCCAAACCAATTTATCACACATGAAACTGTGGCAGTAAGGGTTTAAATCAGCCACAAATTGATTTAGATTATTTCAGTAATAGTGGCTAACGAATCCAGGCTGACATTTTCATCCAGAACGCTTGAGAAAATCCTGGGTTCGAAGAGCAGTTAAGACATTATGCAGGATTCTGCATAGAAGGCACACCCTTCGATGAGGACGAACAATACCTTAGAAAGCGTGGCTTCAGACGGAATTGCTGGCAATACTGTCCTGACATGAGCGTCGGTTTCAACGGAGGTGGCAGCTGCAGCTCGGCAGATAAGCTTACTGGGCAAAGACTTCCTCGTCCCATAGTGCGATGCAGCGATGTGGAACCTGTACTTACGTTGAGACAAGCTCAATTGACATAATCCTGAATAGAGGAATTCTGGCGTGACCGAGCGGTGTGGAATAAGAGAACTGCCGAGTACGCCAATTGCCTGCACACCGCTCACAGCAAGCAGCGCCATCACCATAGTTGCCCTGGCTGCCCTAGCACTACCCACACTCCGACCCTGCAATCCAGGTTTAACACTCCCCTACGCTTCGCCTGGTTAACCGCGAGCTTCAAACTCGCGAACCCGAGGGAGGGAGGGCGAGAAGAGGGAGAAAGGAGCCGAGAGCAGAGCTTCCGGAAGAGCGGCCCCTGTGGCTGCCTCCTCGGGCCACGTCGGCCTCGCAATCTTGAGAGGGCACGGGTGGATGGGCGGACGGGTGGGCGGGCAACAGCATGCCACTCCCGTCCCCCGCTGGGGAATGTGATTCACCCTCCGTCAAATCAACCGTGCTTGAATTGGAGAAACACCTCGCGTGGATTCTGCCACGTGTCTGGCCGAATTCGTGTCGCCGTGGCGTGGCATGGCATGGCAGTTGGTCCACATGGGCAGTCCTCGTCCTCGCCCTCCTGGGCTTGCTTCCTTTCCTTCCTTAGTTCCTTTGTTCCTTTCTTTCCCTCTCTCCCACCCTTTTGTTTCTTCTCCCCCATTTGTCTCTGTACACCAATGTTGTCCCCTCCACAAACATCCTTTCCCTCCTTCCTTCCCATAGATGTGCTTTTCTAGTGAACTTTCCCTTCCTCCTTTCCTTTCTGCCTCCCATCCTGTCCTCCACATCATCTCTTGTGCCAAGGACTCACACCTCTGACTGTATTCATTCGCTTCCTCTATTGTTCCCTTAAACTATGTCTGCTTACAAGATAGAAACAATAATTCTACTATTGATTATACATCGATTTTTATTCTGAGTGTTTCAAAAGTTTCATATTTTTTACCCCGATGAAAAGGGAGTAAAATTATAAGGGTAATTATTGCTCAAGAATACCCCTAGCACATTCACGTATGGTACTATTGAGGAACAAAAGGAAAAATGACTAAAATAGGAAACTTGCCTCTTAACATTGATTTCTCTGTGACCCACCTTTTCTTCTTCTATTGATTTGAATTCTTATTTTCATTTTCTTTTCTTTTCTTTTCAAATTTTCTTTATGTTTTGATAGGGTGATGTTTTTTATTTGAAATTTTTAGATTAAAATTTGAGGAATTCAAAATGTATGTATTTTGAAATAATATTTATCATGTAAATAATTTTATTGATTTTTATATTTAATATTTTAAGAATATTTTTTAAATAATCAAAAAAGTAAAAAAAATTAGATTGTAGAGACCTCTATAATAAATGTGTGTAATATCAATATAAATATATATTTTTTGTAAATACATAAATACATATACACATGCTATAAAAATAATGTAATTAATGTGGAAGAAATAATTTTTTTTTCAATAGCTTAGATTTAAAACCACACAAAGGATGTAATTGGAATTCTATGCTAAATCTTGCAATGTTGATTTTTTTTACTAATTGCTAAAATATATTGCACAAAAGATTGGAGTATAGAGGAAATATTTTTAAATATATCATATAAGAATTATGCTTTATATTGACATTTTAGCTTATTAAACTAGCCATTTGGTAAAGTTTGTAAGGACTTTTGAAACACATACATACACACACACACACACACACACACATATATATATATATATATATATATGCATATTTTTATTATAATTAATTAATTAATTTTTTTGATTTATTATTTCAACAAAAAAAAAAAACCAAGTTATATGTGCTTACTATAATTTATCTTCTTTAGTAGATTACAATTAATATCAATTATATAGATATATAGGATTTTGTGTGGCCTGTGTAATCTACTTATATTTACTTTTGTGCATGAATACATTATGTGTTTACCACATTGTGTAGTCTAGAATCTATATAAACTACACATGCACTAACATACTCACAACAATAGAAATGTATCTCCAATGCGTAAATAGTATTGATAAACACAACATTAATCTATATTTGATTTGAGTTGTAACTCAATACTTGTCACAATCAAAAAGTAGATAGAATAGTCATATACAAATACTACTAAAATAAAAAAATAGAAGTAGTCTTAAGTACATATAGATTTCTAACAAAAACATGGCTAATTAGGTCTTTTTTATTAATGATGAGTGAATTTTTTTTTATAATTATAAATATTCTATAACAAATACAATGAATCAAGTCACATATAAATAATATAAAAATATATTATGCTATAATAAAAAAAAATATAATACTCAAAATCCTCTTTTAAAGGCTCAATTTGAAAAAATGAGTTTTTTAAGGATTTTGGAGTATTTAAATACCATGGGATTTGAATAAGGAGTAAAAGTCCTCCAAGATTCCATTCAAGATCTAAAATCTAAGTCTTATACTTACAGTGGTTCTATGCCTACAATATACTCTAATATAGTTCACTATGTTTTTTACAATTGTTCTGCAATAATATATTATATACATATCACATTATGCAATCTAAAATCTATATAAACTATATTTGTACTAATATAATCACAATAATAGATATATATATTTCTTTAATTCAAGTGGTAGTATTGATAAATATACCACATAATATTAATTCATATTTAGTTTGAATTATAGCATAATACTTGTCACAATCAAAAAATCGATCGAACAATCACATATAAACAATACTAAATAAAAAAATTAGACTTAATTCTAAATATAAATATATTTTTAGTAGAACCAAGATTAATTATGCTTCTTTTAGTAATATTTTGTACTATTAATAAAGCTCTTTTTTCATGATGGTGTATATCAATCAACATCAAATTAATTAAAGAGTTATGTAGTATTAGTCAAAGTAGCTTCCATCAATTTGTTAACATCCTCTAGATCTTTTCTTAGATTATTGACAAATCTATCCATTAATATGAATTTTATCTAAAAATGATGTCAAATATGACATATACTAATTCATTGAATAAATATTACATAAGATCATTGTAGCACCTCCTTGAGATAACTTATACTTTAAGTTAGATGAAAATCACACTCAAATTGGGATTCATTGTGCCATCTATACTTGACAAATGATATAGAATACAATTTCTAAAGTGATTTTTTGAAATTTATCCATCACAACCTTCCAACTCTAATATACCACTAAAAAGTATTTTCTTAACCTTTAGAAAAATTCAATCTATTGTCACATATAATGTAGTCATTATAATTTTTTGTAAATAAACATAATTATTTGATGCAAATTATTGTAGTTATAGTCTATAGCCTTTTTTATTTTAATAATGGCATATTTTAAGATATCATGATGTTAGACAATAGCAAGATTATTAAATTTTTTTTGTATACTATGTTGGAATAACTTTATTTGTATATTATATACCTCTAGCCACATATTAAGATGAACTATTTTAACTATCATATAAATACCACGTTTAGTAAAAGTTGACAAAATTGGTTCTTATCTATACAACAAGAAATAATATATATATATATATATATATATATATATATATATATAAAGTTAAAGAAGCATACTTGCTAAACTTATATTCTTTAGCCAACTAAGGTAACTACAAATCTTAGTCTCTATGATGTCCCTTCTATAGACTATTTTTCTTAAGAGCCATCTTAATAGTTTGCACTGGATATTTTATCAAACCATCTATTTTAGGATGATCTTATTATGTAGTCTTATGATCAATATATGATTCTTCTAATAAATTCTAAAATTCATATAAAAGCTTTTTATTTTGATCAATTAATACCTTAGCTAATATTCTAAAGAGACTTAGAATCCAATCAAGGAAATCATAAACTGTTCTTTTATTAAACTTCTTAAGCAATGCTTCTAATTCTATCCATTTAGAGAAGTATTCAATCATTATCAATACATATTTCTTATGATTTTCAATGATAGATAATGTCTCCACAAAATTCAAATTCTATTAGTATTCTAAGCCTATAATAAAGAAAGATTATATAATATATATTGGTGCATTAAATTAAGTATAGACCTTATCACATATTTGACACCTAAAATCAACTTGCTATATTTATCCATATATATCAATCTACTATTATTGACTTTTTAAAAGATTGTAAGTTTTCTTTATTTTAAAGTGCTCCAATTCTTCATAAATGTGAAGCACTAACTATTCACGTTCTTATGGCCTCTGTACCATATATTTCCTTCCATTTAGCATCTCCCTAAGTAAATGAGCCTTCTTCTATTTAAATCATTTGATTTATTGTAGAATCCAATATCACTCTTTAGAATTTATAATAAGTGGTAAATCTCCTTTCTTTAGATAATTCAAAATTGGTCCATCTTCAAAAACATCTTTGGTATCTTCAAACTCTTTTCTTCTTTTTATTTCATTAAAAATAACTTTTTTCATGAGCTTCTATTTATTGCTAATAAACTAAGTTATAATAATAAATACTATCTAGGCATCTCTTTTTCATCTTTTCTAATATGCCACTTCAATCCTATAGAATCATTTGGCTTAAGCATAGATTTCTACTTGATCCATTATCATCTATATTTATTAATTATATTCTATGCTTGACCTTGAAATCATACTCTTGTAGCATCAAAGCCCACCTTGCAAGTTTTTCAATTAATTTGTCAGATTCTATAAACCAATTAAGTGATTGATGGTCTATAACTAAGACAAATTCATTGCTATATAAATAACATCAAAAGTGTGTAATTTTCAAAATTGTAATTAGAAATTAACTTTCATATAAATTATACTAAGTTTTGGCATTGTTGTTTGCTTTCTTGGTATAAGCCACTACAAATTCTTTTCTCTCATTATTTGTCTAAGTGAAAAAAACTCTAATGCCTAAAGCACTTTAATTTGTACATAGTTGAAATGATCTACATGAAATAAAAATTAATAGGATTAGTGCATTAGCCAATTTATTCATAAGTTTTATAAAAGTTTCTTCTTATTCTTTACCTCATATCCATTCATAATTATTTCTTGTAAGCATAATTAAAGGTTTTTCTATACAGCTAAAATCTGCAATAAACTTTTGGTAATAATTCACTAATATAAGAAAAGATCTTAGATGATTCACATCTTTGGATTTTAAAATATGTTTTAAAGCTTCTATTTTATTCTTTTAAATAAATAAAAGAATACACATTTATTTTTATACAACTTTAGTCCATGCTTTATTAAAATATTCTAAAATAATTTAAAAATATTTTTGATGCTATTTTTATTAAAAATAAAGATATCA